TAGATAGATAGATAGATAGATAGATAGATATGGCAAGTAAGAGGCTCCCTAGGAGATATATATAATTGTCAAATAAAAGGTTCCCTGGGACATACTGACATATTTTAATTTTTTTGTCCCTTCCTCGAAAGGTACAAATGGGGGGGGGGGGGGCATAAGAACAGCAGAAGGAGCCTGTGGCTTCAGGCTACAGATTTAAGGTGTCATCCTGGAAGGGAAGCACATCTTTATTCATGTTTCCTAATATTTCCCTTCCATAATGCCACAGAAAGTCTACACACACACACATATACACCAGGCATGAGCAAACTTTGGCTCTTTAGGTGTTTTGGACTTCAGTTTTGGACTACCAGCTGTTAGGAATATTGGAAAATACAGTGTATGTATGTATAGACACACACGTGAACACACATACATACCAGGCATGGGCAAACTTGGGCCCTCCAGGTATTTCGGACTTCAATTCCCAGCAGTTAGGAATTGTGGGAGTTGAGGTCCAAAAGACCTGTTGGGATGAAGTTTACCCATGCCTGGTATATACACACACAAGGTGTCCCAAGGGTTTCCATCAATAGAAAAAATGAACAAATTAATATATTGGAAAATATGAATAAAGATGTGCTTCCCTTCCATGATGACACCTCAAATCTGCTGGCTGAGGCGTCAGGCTCCTTCTACTTTATGTGCGTGTGTGTGTGTGTATGTGCATAGATTTTAGATGTAATTGTGGAAGGGAAGCAAATCTTCAACCATAAAGGAATATATTGGAATATATATAGAGAGAGCAGATATATATATATATACACACACACACACTCCTCTCTCTCTCTCTCTCTCTCTCTCTATATATATATATATATATGTATGTATGTATGTATGTATATGTATATACACACACACACATATGCACAGACTGGGCCATAACAACACGTGGCAGGGGACAGCTAGTGTGTGTGTGTGTGTGTGTGTGTATAGACACACACACCTCTCTCTCTCTCTCTCTCTATATATATATATATATATATATACACACACACACACACACACACTAGCCCTCCCCTGCCATGCATTGCTGTGGCCCAGTCTGTGTATATGTGTTATTTTTGTGTATATCTATGTGTACATGTGTGTATATATTTGTATATATGTGTGTGTTTTGTGTATATATGTGTGTGTGTGTGTGTGTGGTTTTGCATATGAGTTGTAATGTAGTTTTTATTTTACATTTTTATTTATATAGACTCCAATATATTCCTCTATGATTGAAGATTTGCTTCCCTTCCACGATGACACCTAAAATCTATACACACACACACACATATGTATGTATGTATATATATATATATATATATATATATATATATATATTAGAAGGAGCCTGGAGATTTCCCTTCCACAACGTCACCTAAATATATACACGTGCATGCACATATTTTCCCAAAAGTCTCCATTCATATATATATATATATATATATATATATATATATATAAACAAAATATGGATTTGTTCATTTTTCCTATTAATTGAGACTTTGGGGACACCTTGTGTGTATGAATGTGTATAGATTTTAGGTATCATAATGAAAAGGAAGCAAATCTGCAATTATATATATAAAGAGAGAGATTCCAATATATTCCACAAGGATTCCATAGCACTGAGCCATGAGCAAGTAAAGTGTAGATGCACCCCAAGACCTTATAAAACTACAACTCCCAGGATTCCATAGCACTGAGCCATGTCAGTTAACATGTAGGTGCTCCTCAGGACCTTATACAACTACAACTCCCAATATCCCATAGCACTGAGCCATGGCAGTTAAAGTGTAGATATACCCCAGGACTTTATAAAACTACAACTGCCAAAATCTCATAGCATTAAGCCCTGGCAGTTAATGTGTAGGTACACCCAAGGATCTTAATAAAACTACAACTCAAGGATTCCATAGCACTGAGCCATGGCAGGTAAAGTGTAGATGCACCCCAAGACCTTATAAAACTACAACTCCCAAAATTGTATAGGACAGAGCCCTGGTAGTTGAAGTTTAGGTGCACCACAAGGGTGGAATGGAGGTGCTTAATTTATATTTGATGTTATTTTCTAATTGCCTTCCATATAATAGTAATAGTAATAATAGTAATAATAATAATCCTCACAACCTCTGAGGATGCTTGCCATAGATGCAGGCAAAACGTCAGGAGAGAATGCCTCTAGAACATGACCATATAGCCCGAAAAAACCTACAACAACCCAGTAATAATAATATTCATCATCATCATCTGATTCTTTGGCTATTCTGCTTTCACATGGTTTGTGCTTCTGGCAGCAACATTACATTGGGTGCAGCCACACTAGCATTAATCCAGTTTGACACCACTTTAACTGCTATGGCTCAATGCTACAGGGTCATGGGACTCATAGTTTGGCCAGGCATCTGGAGTCTTTAGCAGAGAAGCCCTTGTAAAAGCACAGCTCTCATGATTTCAAAGATATCAGCAGTGGCAGTTAAATTGGTGTCAAACTGCGTTAATTCTGCAGTGTAGATACACCCTGAGGCAGCCCCAGGTTCGGCCCTCACTCTCAAACGTACTAGAAATGGGGACTCCTCTTTGGGTGGCTATTTTTGGCAATCTCACGCCACTCTTCCGCACCTCTCCCTCTTCCCTCCTTCCTTTTTTCTCAGCTCGATGCGTCACCATCATCATCATCTCAGGTCGCCTTGAAGCGAGGAAAGTGTGAGCAGAACACGCGTGACTTGAGTCACAAAAGAAACCCAATTAGTAGTCCTTGGAGCAGGCAGAGTTTTAGAAGGGAAAAGAGAAGGGAGATGGAAGAATGGTCATATAGAGGGCCACCTAGGCAATACAATTAATGCCATTTGCCACCACTTTCACTGCCATGACTCAATGCTTTGGGATCCTAGGAGTTGCAGTTTGGTGCGACACCAGAACTCTTTGGTAGAGAAGGCCAAAGACCTTTGTAAAACTACAACTCACAAAATCCCATAGCACTGAGCCCTGGCAGTTAAAACGTAGATGCACCCCAAGATCTTATAAAACGACAGCTCTCAAAATCCCATAGCACTGAGCCCTGGTAGTTAAAGTGTAGATGCACCTCAGGACCTTATAAAACTACAACTCTCAAAATCCCATAGCATTGAGCCCTGGTAGTTAAAGTGTAGATGCACACCAATACCTTATAAAGCTACAACTCCCAAAATCCCATAGTACTCAGCCCTGGTAGTTAAAGTGTAGACGCACCCCAGGACCTTATAAAATTATAACAAAATCCCATAGCACTGAGCCCTGGTAAAGTGTAGATGCACCCCAGGACTTTTTAAAAATACAACTTCCAGGACCAGGACTCCATGGCACTGAGCCATGCCACTAAACGTGTAGATGCACCCCAGGACCTTATAAAACGGCAACTTCCAAAATCCCATAGTACTGAGTCCTAGTAGTTAAAGTGTAGATGCACACAAATACCTTATAAAACGACAACTTCCAAAATCCCATAGTACTGAGTCCTAGTAGTTAAAGTGTAGATGCACACAAATACCTTATAAAACGACAACTTCCAAAATACCATAGTACTGAGTCCTGGTAGTTAAAGTGTAGATGCACCCCAAGACCTTATAAAACTACAACCCTCAAAATCCCATAGTACTGAGCCCTGGTAGTTAAAGTGTACATGCACCCCAGGACTTTATAAAAATACAACTTCCAGGACACCATGGCACTAAACTTGTAGATGCAGCCCAGGACCTTATAAAACTACAATTCCCATAGTACTGAGTCATGGTAGTTAAAGTGTAGATGCACCCCAGGTCCTTATAAAACTACAACTCCCGAAATCCCATAGCACTGATCCCTGGTAGCTAAAGTGTAGATGTTCCCCAGGACCTTATAAAACTACAACTTCCAGCATTCCATAGCACTGAGCCCTGGCAGTTAATGTGTAGATGCACCCCAGGATCTTATAAGACTACAACTCCCCAGACTCAATAGCACTGAGCAATGGCAGTTAAAGTGTAGATGCACCCTAGGTCCTCATAAAACTATAACTCCTGAAATCCCATAGCACCGAGGCCTGGTAGTTAAAGTGTAGATGTGCCGCAGGACTTTATAAAACTACAACTCCTAAAATTGTATAGGAATGAGCCCTGGTAGTTAAAGTGTAGATGTGCCCCAGGACCTTATAAAACTAAAACTGCCAGGATTCCATAGCACTGAGCCATGGCAGTTAACGTGTAACTGCACTCCAGGTCCTTTTAAAACTACTGAAATCCCATTGCACTGAGCCCTGGTAAAGTGTAGATGTACCCCAGGATCTTATAAAACTACAACTTCCAGGACTCCATAACACGGAGCCATGGCAGTTAACGTGTAGATGCACCCAAGGCCCTTATAAAATTACCACTCCCAAAATCCCATAGCACTGAGCCAGGACAGTTAAAGTGGTGTCAAACTGCATTCATTCTGCAGAGTAGATGCAGCCTATGGCTCTGGCTTCCCACCGGCTGACTTTGGACAGGTCACTATCTCTCAGCCTCAGAGGAAAGCAAGGGCTTTCTGAGCCAAAGTTGCCCAGAAAACCCTATAATAAGATCGCCAGAGGTCAGAGACAACTGCACACAATGACAATAAATAAATAAATCACAACAAAAGATCCTACGTTATATTAAATGTGTGTAAAGTGTTGATATATAGCATTTTAATACAACATCCCTAAGGCACACCATAACAACAAATATAATGTTAAACGTATGTGGTGAGTTGTTCCTATGCATTTTAATACGTCCCTAAGGTACACCATAACAACAACTAAGTTAACAAATAAAACACCCCTACGTTATGTTTGCATATAACAATCCTAAGGTCATGCCCCCAACTTCATCAATGTATTCTTCCTTAAGGGACAATGGCTTTTGAAGTCAAGGCAGCTCAGTGGAGCCTCCATGCTTAGAGGCAGTCTATCAGGTGAGAGCTGTCAGCCTTCATACCTGGCTTTTCGGATTCATCTGATCTGTCCATCCGCTGCAGGTGAAGGGGTGTCGGATCAAAAGGATTTGGTTCAGATGCGGCAGGGCTTCTTTTTTTTTTTGTAGGTTCACTCTGGTTCCTCTTTGAAGCTCCACCTCTTCCAGGCACTTCTTTGCAACTAAAGGAACCTAGTTTAGAGGCTAGCAATTAATGGAGTGCTATCATTTAGCCTTGTTGTTATTCTCACTGCAGGTATTAAGCACATTCCTTGCATAGCTTTTTAAAAATAAAGGATGATCATAGCGTATAGCTTCCTGGTCAAGATGGACTCAATGCATATAAAACAGCTGTCAAATTGGCACCCCCAGCATGACTCATGGACATGCTGCACATCTATCGGGGTGATTACGGTAAGCGTGACTCAGCTTGTCTCCTGAGCAGGAGAATTGTACCATATTCTCTAGACAATGGGATCAGCTGCTGACATTGCTGGGAGGAAGCCTGCGCCTTCACCAATATTGCAATTTACATTTTCTGTTTAATTAATTTATTTCTTTATTTATGACATTTATATGCTGCCCTTCTCACCCCGAATGGGACTCAGAGGGCTTATAAGATATATATATACATTCAATCGATACATATATATATATAAATGCTCTGTGCATAATGAGTTCCTTAAAAACAAAAGAATCAATGAACAAAATCACACCAAATTTGGCAACAAAATGTCTCTCTACACAAGGAGTGACCATCACTCAAAAAATTATGATTGTGTCATTTGGGAGTTGTAGTTGCTGGGATTTATAGTTCACCTACAATCAAAGAACATTCTGAACTCCACCAACGATGGAATTGAACCAAACTTGGCACACAGAACTCCCATGAGCAAAAGAAAATACTAGCAGCATTTTGTGGGCATAGACCTTGAGTTTGGGAGTTGTAGTTCACCTACATCCAGAGAGCCCTGTGGACTCAAACAATGATGGATCTGGACCAAAATTGGCACGAATAGTCCATATGCCCAAATATGAACACAGATGGAGTTTGGGGGAAATAGACCTTGGCATTTGAGAGTTGTAGTTACTGGGATTTATAGTTCACCTACAATCAAAGACCATTCTGAATGAACCCCACGGATGATAGAACAGGGACAAACTTCCCACACAAAACCTCCATGACCAACAGAAAATACTTAAGGCCATCCAGTCCAACTCCCTTCACCAGGGCAAGAAAACGTAAGCAAAGCCCTCCCGACAAAGAGCCATCAAGCCATAGATATAGATAGATATATATGATTCACACACACACAGATAAAGTATTATAGATTTGAAAGGGACTCCTAAAGATGGACAATTTACATCTTGCATATTCCAGAGTAGGCAAACCAGACAATCTCTACGTCAACACTGTCAAAGAAACATCAAGAAATACTGTTGACCCACAAGCATAAAGACATTACATACAATCTCCACATCAACACTGGCAAACAGGCATGTAGCCAGGGGGGGGGGCTCGGGGGCTTCAGCCCCCCCCCCCGAAATTCCCATGGTGGTTCGCGAAAAGGCCTTACTGGTGCATTATTTAAACTGTTATGTTTATTCATATCATGATCTGATCACCATACTCAATATATCCCATATGCATGGGGGTATTGGGGTAATGATACAAAAGGTTTGCTAGGGTAGACCCTCTTTCACTCAGACTCAGCCCCCCCCGAAACTCAGCCCCCCCGAAACCCCCCTGAAAAAAATTCAGCCCCCCCCCCCCGACCCCCCCCCGAAACGAATTCCGGGCTACGGGCCTGCTGGCAAAGAAACATCAAGAAATACTGTTACCCACAGAATTATTATTATTATTATTATTATTATTATTATTAGATGGTATGTAGAGGGCATTTTGCATTACATATATTAGAAACCAGCACTTTCTAATACTTTATTTTCCAGATCACCAGACCGGGCCACAGCAACGTGTGGCAGGGGACCGCTAGTATATTATGTTATTAGCATAGTACGATATCAGTATTAAATATTACTATATTGTACTATACAATTATATTGTAATATTATTAGTAATATTACATGTAATATAAATATACAATTATAATATAATATATTAGTGTTAGTATTATATTGCATTAGGTTAAAAAAGTAAAGGTTTCTCCTGACATTAAGTCTAGTCATATCAGACTCTGGAGGTTGGTGCTTATCTCCGTTTCTAAGCCGAATGAGCCGGCATTGTCCATAGACACCTCCAAGGTCATGTGGCCGGCATGACTGCATGGAGCACTATTACCTTCCTGCCGGAGCGATACCTATTGATCTATTCACCTTGCATGTTTTCGAACTGCTAGGTTGGCAGAAGCTGGGGCTGACAGCAGGAGCTCACCCCACTCCCTAGATTCAAACCACTAATCTTTCAGTCAGCAAGCTCAGCAGCTCAGTGGTTTAACCCACAGTGTCACCAGGTTGAGAAATGCTGATCTACACTTTTTTTTGTCCTGTCAGGAGTGACTTGAGAAACTGCAAGTCACTTCTGGTGTGAGAGAATTGGCTGTCTGCAAGGACATTGCCCAGGGGATGCCCAGATGTTTTGATGTTTTTACCATCCTTGTGGGAGGCTTCCCTCATGTCCTCACATGAGGAGCTGGAGCTGATAGAGGGAGCTCATCTGTACTCTCTTCGAATTCAAACCTGCGACCTGTCGGTTTTCAGTCTTGCCGGCACAGGGGTTTAACCCACTGCGTCACCGGGGCTCCTATCTACATGGTCAAATGAATGCAGTTTGACACCACTTTAATCACTGTGGAAGGCACCAGCACTCTTTGACATAGAAGTCTAGGGCCCTTGTAAAATTACGACTTCCTGGATCCTATATCATTGAGCCATAGCAGTTAAAGTGGTGTCAAACTGCATTAATTCTTCAGTGTAGATACAGGCAAAATGTGTCTACACCAGCCTGTTCACATGTCTTCAAACTGGAGCTGAATGTCCAGGTTCAAACAGATGGGCTTTCAAGCTGCCTGACCCTCTGCCATTCGTTTACTTTGATTTAGACATCCAGTTTAATTATACCTTCTCGAGCTCCTGGAGTGAAAAGCTTTTAGTCGTCATAGGAACAAGAATACATCCTTCCAGTTTAGTTAACCCGCTGCCTGTTGTTTTCGCCATTTCGGAATAGGCTTGTCAATCTTTTGGCCAGCGGGACACAAGCTGGGCTTTGAACAGCTTGCCTTACCATTGCAGTAGCAGTGAAACATCTCCTGGCATGAGGCCAGAGGAGGAACTTGAACTTGCTTGACATTTCTGCTTTCAGTTGTCGTTTTCTGCCTTCGATTTATGATGACCCTATCAACGAGAACCCTCCAAGTCACCCTGCTCTGGTCTTGCAAATTCAGCCCAGCAATGGCTTGCCTGGGTGCATCTACACTGCAGAATTAATGCTGTTTGACACCACTTTAACTGTCACAGGATCCTGAGAGTTGTAGTTTTGTAAGCCTTCTCTGCCAGAGACCAGTAGTGTCCCACCAAACTGCAACTCCCATGTCTCTATAGCATTGAGCTATGAGAATCAAAGTACTACATTCTACAGTGCAGATGTAACCTTAATCTTCTGATTTGACTTCAGTCTCCACTCTGATACATGACTGCTAATTAGACACATATGTGTAAATACAGGCACAACTCCTGGTGATGCTCTTTTTCCCAAGTTTTTTTTACAGCCTATCTTTACTCCTCATTCTAGTTGGAAGTTTTTTTAGCAGCATCAGCTATTGGAAATAGCAACTTTCTCATGCTCCCACTAGTTATTTGTTATGTATACAATTGCTTACTGTATTGTATGTATTGGTTTGCAATTTAACCTAACCTCTTTGTTGTTGGAGGGGCTGCAGACCATGCAATCAGGTCTAGACATGTTCAGGACCTGAGACTCCATTTCAGATCAGTGTTTGCTTCAGACTTCAGTGGAGATAGAAGCTATTAGACTCTTAGAGAGAGTAGAAGCCATCCATATGCTTTTAGTCAGTCATTGTGTATTTATATCAGGAACAGTATTAAAAAACTCAAAATTACAACAGCAAAACAACAGAGGGGAAACAAACAGGCACATAAAATCACTCTCAAAAGATTCCCCCCAGGCACTTCCAAGCCATTGAATGCTAATCAAGGTGATCAGCTGAAACATTCACACCTATCCCCAGCAGACAAAAGTCCTTTGTTTCACCCTGGTCATTCCACAGATATATAAACCCATTTTTCCTACTTCCAACAGACCTCACTACCTCTGAGGATGCTTGCCATAGATGCAGGCGAAACGTCAGGAGAAAAATTGCCTCCAGAACATGGCCATATAGCCCGGAAAATCCTACAACAACCCATGGATTCCGGCCATGAAAGCCTTCGACAATACATCAAATCTCCACATATCTGCATATCTTGCAGGGTTTTTTTTTTTAAAAAACTGCTGGTTTCTGGTGGAAGTCCCACAGTGGACCAGCCCACGCCAGAGCTCCCTGTTGGCTGTCACCACCCCAGCTCCTTCAGAGTCAAGCCAGTCACTTCAAGGATACCATCCATCCATCTTGCCCTTGGTCGGCCCCTCTACCTTTTTCCTTCCATTTTGCCCAGTATCATTATCTTCTCTAAGCTTTCCTGTCTTCTCTTGATGTGGTCAAAGTTCTTCATCTTGGCCTCTAATATCCTTCCCTCCAGTGAGCAGTTGAGCTTTATTTCCTGGAGGGTGGACTGGTTGGATCTTCTCATGGTCCAAGGCACTCTCAGGATTTTCCTCCAGCACCACAGTTCAAAAGCATCTATCTTCCTTTGCTCAGCCTTCCTTATGGTCCAGCTCTCACATCCATAGGTTACTACGGGGAATACCGTTGCTTTAACTATGCGGATCTTCATTGCCAGCGTGATGTCTCTACCCTTCACTATTTTATCAAGAATTGTCATTGCTCTCCTCCTAAGAAGTAAATGTCTTCTGATTTTCTGGCTGCTTTCTGCGTCTGCAGTAATCTTCACGCCTAGAAATACAAAGTCTGTCACTGGCTCCATGTTTTCTTCCTCTATTTCCAGTTATCAATCATTCTTGTTGCCATAATCTTGTTTTTTTATGTTTAGCTGCAACCCAGCTTTTGCACTTTCTTCTTTCACCTTGATTAGAAAGCTCCTCAACTCCTCCTCGTTTTTGGCCATCAAAGTGGTGTCATTTCCAGCAATTTTAACTCCAGCCTTGGATTTGTTAAGCCCTGCATGTCACATGATGTGTTCCACATACAAGTTGAATAGGTCGGGTAAGAGTATACAGCCCGGCCGTACTCCCTTCCCAATCTTGAGCCAGTCGGTTGTTCCGTGATCTGTTCTTAGTGTTGCTACTTGATCGCTATACAGATTCCTCAGGAGACAGACTTGGTATCCCCAGACAACCAAGAACTTGCCACAGTTTATTATGATCCACACAGTCAAAGGCTTTAGAATAGTCAATAAAACAGAAATAGATGTTTTTCTGAAACTCCCTGCCTTTCTCCATTATCCAGAGGATATTGGCAATTTGGTCTCTTGTCCCTCTGCCTTTTCAAAACCCAGCTTGTACATTCGACAACTCTCGCTCCATGTATTGCTGGAGTCTGCCTTGCAGGATTTTGGGCATTACAATACAGTTTAGCCTTCAATAAGATGTATGCTTAAAGACTGCATTGGACTATGGACTATTGAATCTAAGGAAGATGCCCTGTGCAGGGCCATAGCCAGAAAAAAAATTTGGGAGGGGTTGAAATTTTCGGGGGGGGGAAAATTTTGCGGGGGGGGGGTTGAAACCTGCCTCCTAGCTCACGCTGAAGCAAAGAGCACAGCAGGGGGCAGAGCAGCCTTCAATAGCCTGCAGCTTCCGCCCCTGTCAACCACCTCCACCAAGTCTGGCCTCCTTAATGAGAGCATTCAACACACACACACCAACTTGGTTGCTTCACTACATCAGCTATTGCTGCAAGTAATGACAGTGTGAATAAATTGTCAATATTTGCCTGAGATAGTGCTTGCAGTTCTGGAGGGACTCTTAATTTTTTGCATCTCATAGACTTAGCATGGGGATTTGGTTAACCAATTAAAATTCATGAGTAAAACAGGTTTTTTTAAAAAAAATCTGAAACATTTCGGGGGGGGGGTTGAACCCCTAAAACCACCCCCTCGCTACAGGCCTGCCTGTGCTACCTACACAGATAAACTACTTAAAATCATATTGTAACTGGATTAATAAGCAAAGTTTTGTATGCTGTATACATGAAGTTTTGTGAGTAAACCAACCGTTACTTTTAAAGAAGGCTGTTTATTTTGTCTCATGAGAGCACGATTTAAAGGCAAATATATTTTAAGGGAGAGTAGATGTTTGGGGCAACTAAAGGAACGCTTCTGAAACTTTGTCAAATGAATATGTGTTTTTGTGCATTGGCATGTCTTTCTTCCTGACAGTTCAAAGACATACCTAGGTACATCAGTTTAACAGCTGAGAGATCTTTGCACGAATGCTGGTAAACACAGAGACAGGCAGGCACAAACACAGCCATCCTTGGACACACACACAAGACTCCCACTGTATTGTCAAAGGCTTTCATGGCCAGAATCACTGGGTTGTTGTAGGTTTTTCGGGCTGTATGGCCATGTTCTAGAAGCATTCTCTCCTGACGTTTCACCTGCATCTATGGCAAGCATCCTCAGAGGTTCAGACCCCTCAGCCTCTGTGGATGCCTGCTATAGGTGTGGATGAAACATCAGGAGAGAATGCTTCCAGAACATGGCCACACAGCCCAGAAAAACTACGAGAGTCCCACTGCTCACTCCCAACACACATCTCATACATGATTCTCTTCTTCTTGCAACATGACAAAGGTACAGACACCACAGCTTTTACAAATGGTGCGTTTTATTTATTGCTCCAAAATAAAAGCAAATGGGAGGGGGGAATACCGAAGGGCTGAAAAACAGGGCCGTGAGCAGGTAACGGTTCAAAAGGAAGCATTTCCTAGAAATTCCATTTCGTTGGGGAGATGTCACACCGTTTTGTCTCCCTCCCCCCTCCCCCTCCCCTTCCAAACATGAATGGAACTAATAGGGATAGCGCGGGGTTGTTTACAAATGGGGAGAAATAGGGACGGGTGAGTAAGTAATCCCTTTGCCCTTTTTCAGAATAGCAGAGAATGGCCAGCAAAGGAAAAGGTGGATCTGACAAATCAGCTGATGAACAAGAAAGGTGAGAAAAGGGCAGATGCAGGAGGGGGGCAGATTTCCTATATCTAATCCCATACTTTTTTTGTGTCTGGAGCGACTTGAGAAACTGCAAGTCGCTTCTGGTGTGAGAGAACTGGCCGTCTGCAAGGACATTGCCCAGGGGATGCCGGGATGTTTTGATGTTTTACCATCTTTGTGGGAGTCTTCTCTCATGTCCCTGCATGGGGAGCTGGAGCTGACAATGGGAGCTCATCCGTGCTCTCCCTGGATTCGAACCTCCGACATGTCGGTCTTCAGTCCTGCTGGCACAGAGGTGTGACCCATTGTGCCACCGGGAGCTCCTAATCCCATACTGTAGATAGGTTAATAGTTTAGAGTTATTTTTCCTTTGGGGTGAACGACTGGCCATTCTATCAGACTTTTTCCATGCAGAAGGGATTAGTTTTTTCCCCCTCCTTAAAAAAATTCCCTAAAGGGTATTTTAATACATTTTGGCACTACACATTGAACTTTCTGTTTTGACTTAAGACACCACACAAAATGCCTCTCCTTCAGCATCTTTAAAAAGGATGTTGGGTGGCTTTCTGTTCTGGGGAGCTGAAGCTGTCAATCAAAACACGTCTGCGTTTGCAGCCCGAACGAACAGATGTCCTTCTAGAGGACTTAATCCACAAAAGCGGTATTCTTAACACTTAAGTGCACATGGAATTCTCCTGAAACAAGGATATGAAGATAGATAGCCACATGAAAAGAAAACTTACGTCTTCAAAAGAATTAAGATTTTTTTTTCTTTTTCCAAAAAGTAAATAATTTTTCTCTGCTTTATCATTCAAAGGACTTCATGAAGAAGCAGGAGATTTAAAGCCTCCGGTTATTTATAATTATTATAATTTTTTTTCAAAGCATACGAGACAAATGAAGAAGTAAACAAGTATATTTTGCAAAGGCTGGAAACAAAATAATATAAAAACATTGGCACAATGGTGTGAAATTACTCTTATATCTCAATGATTTATTATTTCTGAAGACATTAACACGATCATCTGCCTCTATCCATAAAAACATACCCAAATTCCTGAATCATTTTGGTCTAAAGCAGATATGGGCAAAGTTTGGCCCTCCAGGTGTTTTGGACTCCAACTCCCACCATTCCTAACAGCCTCAGGCCCCTTCCTTTTCCCCCTCAGCCACTTAAGCGGCTGAAGGGGAAAAGGAAAGGGCCTGAGGCTGTTAGGAATGGTGGGAGTTGGAGTCCAAAACACCTGGAGGGCCAAACTTTGCCCATGTCTGATCTAAAAAGTGTTATAAGAATGCTACCAAAAACAAAAGGTAACACCTCCTTTTTCTCTAAATTTAATTTTCAACCTGCATAAAGGCAGAATTGGGGGAAGGAAGTAATTTCTTAAGAGTAGACACCAGGAAAAAAAGGACATATTGTACAATCCACTGGAAACCACTATAAATGAACAAAAGACAACCAAGGCAGAGTCAACAGGACTCCATTGACGGCAATCTTATATGAATAGACATTCCCAGAATCAAATTCTTAAATTATTTTCCCACCCCTAAATAATACTAAATCTAGTCTAAGTAAATGAAATAATTGTGTTGTCGAAGGCTTTCATGGCCGGAATCACTGGATTGTTGTGAGTTTTTCGGGCTGTATGGCGATGTTCCGGAAGCATTCTCTCCTGACGTTTCACCTGCATCGATGGCAGGCATCCTCAGAGGTTGTGAGGTCTGTTGGAAACTAGGAAAATGAGATTTTATATATCTGTGGGATGTCCAGGGTGGGAGAAAGAACTCTTGTCCTCCTAAGCTGCAAACACAGTCTTTTGGGTATGTGTTACCCCGAACAGGTCTAGTTTGTTACAACTCCAAGCCTATGTCGGTGCACATGTTGTTCAGCTGCCTTCAAACTGCATTAAGTGGTCAGTGTAGATGTGCCCATAGAGCAGGCATGGGCAAATTTCAACAGGTGTTTTGGACTCCCAACTCCATTTGAGGTAGCCAATTGAAACATTCACACGCACCTATAATAATAATAATAATAATAATAATCCTTTATTTGTACCCCGCTACCATCTCCCGAAGGACTCGGTGCGGCTTACAGTAGGCCGAGACCCAATACAACAATAAACAAGTCAACAACAATACAGCAGTAAATAAAACTCAAGCAATAACATTAACAATAACAACACGACGCAATTAAAAACTAAAGCAGGGACAGCTAGCACCTCCCAACAAAGAATTCCCCCAGGAAGGAAGCAGCCAGACTTTGAAGCTGCAAGGCCATTCAGTGCTGCTCAGGGTGGCTCATTGCAGCATTCACATTCGCCTCCAGCAGACAGGAGATCTTTCTCCCACCCTCGACATTCCACAGATATATAAAACTCCATTTTCCTAGTTTCCAACAGACCTCACAACCTCTCAGGATGCTTTCCAAAGATCCAGAGGAAATGTCAGAAGAGAATGCTTCTGGAACATGGCCATACAAGCTTGGAAAAATCACAACAATGCAAATAAATAATTGACTATGCAGCCTAACACAAGATTTGCCTTAGATATCAGTTCTAAAAAGCCTTTTTGTGTGTGTGTGTATACGACATCAGAACTTTTGCTTTAATCTTCTCTTCCTATTGAAGGGTTTGGGAAGAAGATCGGAAGGTCAGAGGAAGAACAGAAGTGTAATCAGAAATCGATTTGCAGGCAACTGTTAACTACTAAGGCTCTGATTCTGTGCCCATTTACCTGGGATTCAGCTCCACTGAAGGCAGATGGGCTTCATTTCAGGTAACTCTGCATAGAATTTTTCTGTAAAGCTACTAGCAGACTGCCTTGTTTTTTGCAGGACTTTTCAAGAGCTTCATGGCCAAGTATAAGGAGGATTGGTACATGTTCCAGTTGGAAAAATGTGTTAGGGCATGTAAGAAATAAGTTAGTGTGTGTGCTAGCAGTAAAATGCATAGTACAAAGCTGATTGGCTGGGCCATGACTGGGGAGCTAGCTGAGCTTGGGAGTTTTGGATACAGTTACATTTTCAAACTATATGTGATTTACATTACTACTGCAAACCTATTCAAAATGACACATTCTGCTTTTTCTTCCTGTAGTAGGGCAACTTCAAACCCATTCTATAGGGCCTACCCAACACATGAATGAATTGTTCCTATGACCCTACTATTTTCCCTCTTGGAAAAGAAGTATTGGCTTACTTTTGGAAGATCTTATTTAATTCTAATCCCGCAAACAACTTAATGGAAGTTCATTCTTCTCAATGTATTGGGTCCGTCCCCCTTTCCATATATTTTTTGACTTTATGGGGTCTACATTTTGTTTTTGTTCCACAGCATCTACTTAGTATCTTTCTTTTATCCTTGTGGGTACTTATTTGCCATTTTCTTTTAAGACTGAAATACAGTTTGTTAAGGGAAGTTTTGTAGCAACTATCTGTTCTGGTTTTTAGGGATGTTACTCTTTAAACTTTATTTAAATGGCAGCACCTGTGATTGATGTCAATTTCTTTCTAAAAGGACCCGGAGAGCAAGGTAAAGGGAGTAAAGGGTAAGGTACAAGCCCTCCTTCTTCCTCAGCCCTTAAGGAAATAATAAACCAAGAGAGAATCAGAAGACTTAATAAATAGAGAAATAAATAAAAGGAAACCAACAGATAAAGCAGAAAAAGTGTGTGTGTGTGTGTGTGCGTGTGTTTGTGTGTGAGAGAAACGCGTTTGGCACATTGAAGAGGGTATTTACAAGGCGAGGGGAGTGGACGGCGTCCAAAGCTGGGAGAGTGGACAGTGAGGCAGCAACATGGAGAGGAAGGGAGAAAGCTCAATCTGTGGGGCAGAGAGAAGAAGAAGAAGCTCCCTCTCTCCCCTCCGTTTTTCCCCTGGGCCCCCCAAAAACCACCTTCCACTATTTCCCTCCGAAATAGGAATCATTCTCAGTCGCTGCTCCTCAAACCCGCTTGGGTCGGGGGAAGAATGCAGATCACAGAACATCTTCTAGATTGAAACCTCATATTCTCTGGTGTCCTGGAGTGGGAGAGAGCGAGAGAAACGGCAGGAGAGAAAAAAAGAAGAGATTGCATTATTATGACTGATACATGCATGCTTTTGCTTACCATATCTCCTTGCTTAGTTTCTCCTAAACTACTTCAGAACAATGTATTGTCGAAGGCTTTCACAGCTGGAATCACTGGGTTGTTATAGGTTTTTTGGGCTGTATGGCCATGTTCTAGAAGCATTATCTCCTGACGTTTCACCTGCATCTATGGCAGGCATCCTCAGAGGTTGTGAGGTCACAACCTCTGAGGATCACAACCTCCGAGGATGCCTGCCATAGATGCAGGCAAAACATAAGGAGAGAATGCTTCTAGAACATGGCCATACAGCCCGAATAACCTACAACAACCCAATACTTCAGAACATCAGGGGGCTTCAACTACTAGAGCAGTGGTTCTCAACCTGTGGGTCCCCAGATGTTTTGGCCTTCAACTCCCAGAAATCCTAACAGCTGGTAAACTGGCTGGGATTTCCAGGAGTTGTAGGCCAAAACACTTGGGGACCCACAAGTTGAGAACCACTGCCTTAGAGAGCTGTTTTGTCGCACTGTCAATAATAATAATAATAATAATAATAATAATGATAATAATAATAATAATAATAATAATAATAATAATAATAATAACAACAACACTTTATTTATAACCCGCCACCATCTCCTATATCTATATAAATAAAAATAAAATGTTCGTTTGTGGGATTAACAGAACTCAAAAACCACTGGACGAATTGACACCAAATTTGGACACAAGACACCTAACAACCCAATGTATGTCCTTCACTCGAAAAAATGATTTTGTCATTTGGGAGTTGTAGTTGCTGGGATTTATAGTTCACCTACAATCAAAGAGCATTCTGAACCCCACCAATGATGGAATTGAACCAAACTTGGCACACAGTTCTCCCATGACCAACAGAAAATACTGGAAGGGTTTGGTGGGCAGTGTCCTTTGGTTTTGGAGTTGTAGTTCACCTACATCCAGAGATCACTGTGGACTCAAACAATGATGGATCTGGACCAAACTCTACAAAAATACCCAATATGTCCAAATGTGAACACTGCTGGAGTTTGGGGAAAATAGAATATTGACATTTGGGAGTTTTAGTTGCTGGGATTTATAGTTCACCTACAATCACAGAGTATTCCGAACCCCACCAACGATAGAATTGGGCCAAACCTCCCATATAGAATCCCCATGTGGGCCACAGCAACGCTGTGACGGACAGTAATAATAATAATTTATAACCCGCCACCATCTTCCAGAGGGACTTGGGATGGCTCAAAAGGCACTCAAATGTGCAAATACACAAAATACAAAACGCGAAAAGACAATAACACAAAAGCAATAACAACCAACATAAGTATCACAAAGCCCTCCTTGTTTAAGATCAGTAGAATGCAACAATAGCCGCAGATATAAAACAACTGCAATCAATATCAGTCTCATAAAGTGCACAGTGAATATATGTTCATTAAGGGTTTCCAAACATGGTCAAAGGCTTGTCAAAAAAGTCAAGTCTTCAATTGTGTACAAAAGGCTTGGAGAGTGGGGGCTAGCCTAATCTCCCTCGGGATGGTATTCTAAAGTCAGGAGGCCACCACCAAGAAAGCCCTCTCTCTCGTCCTCACCAACTGCACTTGAGACAAAGGTGGGACCGAAAGCAGGGCCTCCTTGGTAGATCTTAGTGCCAGTGCTCGTTCATAGAAGGAGATGTGATCTCGAGGACAGGTTGGACCTGAAGCGTATAGGGCTTTATATATGATAACCTGCACTTTGAATTGGACCCAGAAACTCATTGGCAGCCAGTTGACCTGATTTAATAGGGGCATGGTATGCTTCCTTATAACCTATAATTCTGGGCACTACAACTGGAGATGTTGACAAGCTGCAATGTGTGCAGAGGAAGGCAACTAAAATGATCTTCCTTGGAGCTACTTTTTGAGTTTTTGGGTGGCCCTTCTGGCTAAAATAGAGAAAGGATCAGACACTGGGCTTGTAGATTTCATAAAGCCTCTCCCCAACTTTCTTCCAGTAATGCAAACACTGATGCAAATACTGGTGGCTCCAATGTTAGCAAGTTAGTGAATGTTCTTCCAAAAAAAAAAAATTCCGTATCAGGAGTGACTTGAGAAACTGCAAGTCACTTCTGGTGTGAGAGAACTGGCCAGCTGCAAGGACGTTGCCCAGGGGATGCCTGGATGTTTTGATGTTTTACCATCCTTGTGGGAGGCTTTCTCATGTACCCGCATGGGGAGCTGGAGCTGACAGAGGGAGCTCATCTGCGCTCTCCCCAGATTCAAACCTCCGATCTGTTGGTCTTCAGTCCTGCCAGCACAAGGGTTTAACCCAGTGGTTCTCAACCTGCAGTCCCCAGATGTTTTTGGCCTACAACTCCCAGAAATCCCAGCCAGTTTACCAGCTATTAGGATTTCTGGGAGTTGAAGGCCAAAAACATCTGGGGACCCCAGGTTGAGAACCACTGGTTTAACCCATTGCGCCTCTGGAGGCTCCTACTTCAGGTTGTATATCTGGACTTTTAAAAACCACCTAGGGCGCTGGATATATTTTGGAGATAAAGAGTTCTGCACCACAGACAGTTCCTTGTAAGATAGCATTAAAACCAGGGACTTGGCTCGTTGCTATGCCTTTTAGCATAGCATTCAGTCAAATTAATGAACTAGCCTAAAACATGGTAAAGTATTCCTTGCCTGAGAAAACCCTACGAAATTCATGGAGTCACCATAAGTCAACAGGTGACTGGAGGACGCTTCTATCATGGACTGCAAAAAAGACAAATTAATGGGTTCTAGAGCAATTCAAACTTCAAACTCTAGAAGTCAAAATGAGCATACATGATATCATTAAAAGCCAGGAATTCTATAACTTCCTTATGAGCAGAGAGCTCTTCTCTACAAAAAGAAGTTAAATCCTGACCCACAACACTGTGGAACGTCTCACTGCTTTGGAAGTTCGAAATGTCCATCCAGATGGATTCCAATTCACATGCTTCTGCTGTTATTTTTTAAAAGACCCATTGTTGACAAATGGCTGCCCTAGACATGGCTGAGGAGCCACACATCCCCAGCATCCACACTCACCCCAGCCTCATAGAGAGGGTTGTTGAAGTCCGACTCCACAGTGATCGGGCTGTAGCTGTGAGAGCTGGAGAAAGAGAAACCAAAGAGAGTCTTTCCTTGGAACCTACAGGAGGGGAAAAAGAGGACCAATAAAAACAAGCAGCAGGGCTGTTGGGAAACGCAACACCTCTTTGAGAGGTGTCTGTGACCTGGCGGAGTGACAAGCAACACCTGCTGAGATTACCTTTTCAAAAAAGCAATTCAAGGTACAGGAGCTTATTTCTAGTCCCCCCCCCCCCCCAGGCAACTCTAATAACGACACTCAGTGATCCACATTTGCAGATTTCACTTTTGTAAGATTTGTTTATTTGTGGATTTGTTTATTTGCATAACTCTGGCCAATTTCTGGGGAAAACCTTTTGGGTTACATCCCTATGTAAGTCTCTTGTGCCATCAAGTCTCCAGTCCTCAATGAGTAGCTAGGCTAGAGATCAGATTAAGCTGAGGGATTCCTTTCCTCACTTTACCATGCATGTTTACCAAAAGGGGCTTTGTCTTTACTATTCCTGCTATCCACTGTCTCCTCCCCTTTGAAGATGTATCAATGGAATTTGTGACGGAACTGTTGCTTGTTGCTTATGTTTTGGTTTTATTTTTGCTGTAATATGTTGTCCGGGCTTGACCCCATGTAAGCCGCTCCGAGTCCCCGTCGGGGAGATGGTGGCGGGGTATAAATAAAGATTATTATTATTATTATTATTATTATTATTATTTTATTGACCTGGGCTTGGCTATGTGGCCATTCGCCATTTTCCAGTTTTCTTCTGCCTTTTCTTCCTTCCAGTGAGGACGCATTTTGTCTCTCTCCTTAGGCAGAAAGTAACTCCATGGACTTTCTGACTTTTTACCCTTTTACTTCTTTAGAAGATGAGATTTAGTAAGCTAGTTAGCTCCAAGACCTTTTCTATCTAGAATCTATTTCTTTTACTTCAATAAATAATTTTGAACCTAAAGTTCTGACTCTGCAATCCTGTGCCATCCTAAGGAATAGAAGCTTATCCCAGCTCATCACATGTAAGTTTCTGCTGGTTATGAAATTAATTTTGGTATTTATGGTGGAATCACCCCAACTGAGGATTATTTTTGAGCCTAACAGCTCAGATTCCCCAACAAAACTGAATAGAGAGTTACACTGGAGGACTTAGAGAATTCCTAGAAAGACCAGTTTTCTAGGCATTTGTAGGTCCTTCTGTGTGGTTCTGTGTGATTAATGCCTAGCAGAGTCGGGCTTTAGCACAGCTAGTAGATCACCAGCAATTATAAGATCTATACCAAAAGGTTGCCATTTCGAAGCCCCGGGTCAGCCCAGCTCACTATTTACCCAAGCAGTGCAAAAACAGCTTAGTAAGTAGAGGAATTAGGTACCGCTAAAAAGCCAGAGTGGTATTTTACGACACCATAAAAGAAAAAGATCAGGAAATGCCATGTGACCAAAAGGAAGGAGGAATCTTTGTCATAGAGGATGGAGCGACAGCAGCCCCTGTGGCTGGATTCAAGCACAGCCTCCAAGGTGCCAAAAAGCTGGACGTCAACACAACATACCTCCTTTCTGTTCTGTCTGTCTCTATCCTGTCTGTCCAAAAACGGCACTGAATATTTGCCGTGTATATGTAGTATGATCCGCCCTGAGTTCCCTTGGAGACTTAGGGCAGAATATAAATAAAGTGTCATTATTATTATTGTTGTTGTTGTTGTTGTTGTAGAAGTGCACCAGAGGATTGAGAGATGTCTAGAAACGTAAAAAAGCAGGTTTTCCATTATTCACAGCAGCACTGTGACCTTAACCCTAGTGAATGGGGAGGGCTAAATCTATCAGCAGTGTTGAATTTGACTGACCACTGGTTTAATTTTGCATAAGGCAAAAACAGAAGAAAACTTGCAGAAGAAAAAATAATTTTACTTAACACAGGCATAGTCAACTTCCACATTATTTCAGTTTGTATCTCTGTTAGTGGATTGGAATTTGTGAACACAATTCATTTCAACTGGTTTTTCTTTCTTTCTAATTTTCCTTTGTAACCTGTAAATCCCTTCCTGTATGTCCAGGAAGGTTGAGATGTTCTGCAACCTATGGTTTACAAGCAAAGCCAAGTCTCAGCAACCCTCCGCAGTGGTTCCCAACCTTTGGGCCTCCAGGTGTTTTGGACTTCAACTCCCAGAAATCCCAGCCATCTTACCAGCTGTTATGAATTGTGGGAGTTGAAGTCCAAAACACCTGGAAGCCCAAAGTTTGGGAGCCACTGATAAAGAAAAGAACTAAGGATGTCTAAGCTGTATTCAGTCACATTGACACTCGTTGGTCAAAATGGCTGCCTTTCAAGACCTCAACTTGCCCCACCCACCAATTTATAATAATAATAATAATAATAATAATAATAATAATAATAATAATGCTTTATTTATATCCCACCACCATCTCCCCAAGGGACTCGGAGCGGCTTACATGAGGCCAAGCCCAACAACACATCAAAAACAACAAGCAGTAATAAAATAACAAGCAATAAACAAAATAAGCAATACAATTAATATAACTCACAAGTAGACAATAAACACAAGAATTTAAAAACCTATGGCTGGGCCAAATGTAATTTAAATTTAAAGGATGCTCACTTGGTATAGTAGACATAGATTCCACCAATCAGAAGGATGACAAGGATAATGGGAAGGAAGATCGCCAAGGCAATGTTGCCCCCTTCCATCTGGTGGGAAGGGTCTGTTGTTTGGGTGACTGATGAGAAAACAGAGAATAGTTACCTCTGGGAATGTATTTCAGTTATCACAGATACAGCTCGTAAATATGACTTTTTGGGACTACAACTTCCAGATGAAGTGTGGCCTGGAAGAGGAGGTTCTGAGGATTGTGGTTCCAAAAAGTTGACTTCACAGGCACAACTGGTAGACCACCTCCCTGAAATCTCTTTCCAATTTCAACATCCACTTGCCACTCTCACCTTCTAGTTTCCGGCCGTCCAATAACTCCTCATAGGCCACTAATGGGGGAGAAAGAAATCAACAGAGAGAGTGTTTAAAGAATGACAAATAAGCAACTGCAGCAAAGTTGGGTGGGAGAAGGGAAGCAGGGATGAGGACACCATACCTTTGCAGAGCGGAGGCTGGCTGGTCCACTGGGATGGATGTCCTGGTATGCAAGTGATGGTCACTTCACCTATGAGCTCAAAGCCCTCGTAGCAAAAGAAACGCAGGGATTCCCCTGCTTGGTAGTGATGCTTGTAAAGGGTTTGGTATCCATTCTCTGGGACGCCTGGATTCAAGCAGGGCTCATATTTCACTATAAAGGAGAGAAGGAGCCTTCAGTCCCCTAGCCCTGAGTACAAGCTCCTTACAAGATCCTTACCTGGTTAAACAGATTAAGCCCCCCCCTATCTGGCATTTCAATATATTTCATAAGCCAAAATTATATTCTGCCTACAGATTTCTGTTGTGATTAAAGTCACTCAGTGAATTTCTGAATTTTATGGAGATTCGAGGCTGAGTTTTTCAAGTTTCAAATCAGTGTGGTGTAGGAGTTTGAGAGTTGGACTAAGACTCCGGAGACCAGGGTTCAAATCCCTATTCAGACACAGAAACCCACAGGAAGTAGCAACCAGTAATGAAAGGACCAAACATTGACATCAGGCCCATCCTCTGTTCGGATATCAGCCAGCAAGTCAATGCCTTAAATCAAGAAATACAGAGATACTTGCAGGAACACCTCAGCAAGCGAGAGTCCAAAAGTGGCAGGCTAAAAACCAACCAGTGACAGAGACCAGATGACAAACTCCCTCCTGGGCACCCAGAAGACTGGGCAACTTGGAAGGCACTGGACAGGGCAGGGCTAGCCTTACCATTAATCATGAGAAGCAAGCTTCCATAGAGAGTAAATTCTGATTATAAGATAGATTATTGTTATTCTAACTATATTGTTAGAGATAGAGAGAAGGATTTTTTTCCTGTCTCACCTGCCCAAATAACATGATTGTTCTTGGGAATATGCACCATGACTTTGGAGAAAGAGGTGCTCCCTTCTTGTTCAAGTCCTTCTTGCAGACATTTCCTGCTTCTGATAGTTTTAACTTTTTTATGGTCCATCTTAATATTTAAGTCAAAAATAACACTATATAACATTTGAAAAAAAATCTGTTCCTGGTTTTGTTTTGTTTTTGTGCCAGGAGCGGCTTGAGAAACTGCAAATCGCTTCTGGTGTGAGAGAATTGGCCATCTGCAAGGATGTTGCCCAGGGGATGTCAGGATGTTTTACCATCCTGTGGAAGGCTTCTCTCATGTCCCCACATGGGAAGCTGGAGCTGACAGTTGGGAGCTCACCCTGGTCCCCAAATTCAAACCACCAACCTTTCGGTCAGCAGACCTGCCATCACCATTGCGCCACTGGGGGCTCTGTTCCTGTTTTGAAAGTTCCATTTTCTCTTTAACTGTGCAGTACTTACTTTGAAAGTAGTTATTATGCTGCAGAAACTTCATTTTCATGGCTACCACAAACTATGTTGAATTAGTTCACACTCTATGAGATATTCATTGAAAAACTATAATAAAATGTGCAGCAGGGTTTCCCGCAAAAACAAAGTCTTTGCAATTTCATAAACTTTTCAATGTTTTGATGAAAGAACCAATTAGGAAATGACATTTATAATCTAGGAACAAAAAGTGTGTTACATAGTGTAAGAACAAGCCATTGGCTTCACCAAGACAGCCATTCTAAGTGCCAGACCTTCTCAAATTAGTGTCCTTCAGATAAATTGTCCTACAACTCTCATAATCCTGCTAGGATGGTTGACAAATTATGGAAGCTGCAGTCCAATTGATCTAGGACGCACACAGCTGGAGAAGGCTGCCAAAAAGCCAGCCAAGCAAGCAAAAATGACAGGACTGCTAACAAAACAGATCTGACGGAAGTGTCACTCGCAATCCCAGGAGCTGCCAAAGTTTGTATCCATGTCCTGAGAGCTGGGGACTACTTTATGGCTCTGCCTTTTCTCACCTAGCAGGGTCCCCACTCTTCACTATGGCCACCCCTCACCCCTTTTACTCACAGACACACTTGGGCACTCGGTCGCTCCATTTTGGGGTGCCGGTATCTCGATTATAGCAGGTCAGCGTGCTGCTCCCTTCCACCACGTATCCCTCGTGACAGAAATACTGGACGTGGGAACCGATGGAGAAACGTCGGTCTGAAACACTGCGTTTGCCGTTGCTAATTTCCCCCGGATCAGCACAGTTCACAACTGAGACAGGAAAAAAGGGTAGAAAGAAAAAATAGAATGAATTCCAAAATAATTATTTATGTACAATTCCCTTGCCACTGACAATTCAGGAGCTAATATTCTTCCTACTGCTATGAAGAAAGATATCTATACAATTCTAAGGCACCAAGCCCTGTCTGACCTGAGAAGGTAAATAGGGTCAGAGCTGGTTAGCACTAAGAATGTTAGACAGCTAAACGAATATTGGATTTTGCAGGTTGTATTTCAAAGGAAACCAATTACAAGTCAACTGAGGAATTCCTTGTTTAAGAAAACCCTATATGGAATTCACAAGGTTGCCGTATGTCAACAGGCGAAGGCCTATGCAAACATACACTGTGGAAACTACATATCATGTGAGGATTGTCCCATGAGTTTCACAGCTTTCATTTTGTCAAACAAATACTATAATCCTCAACATTGTGGAAAACATTGGCGGAAGCCAAGTTGTGCATACACCAAATCACAAAATGACACAAGTAGTATGTGAATGTACACTGTTTCTATGCATTGCCTGTACTTATGGCACACTGCAACGGCACAATACCTTGTTCGGCCATGGATCCTCATCTGTTACGCTTTATACATATCCAATAACTGTTTGTGTTTAATTAGTCTTTGATTTAATTGTATTTTAATGTAAATAAGTGTTTCTCAACCTGGGGGTCGGGACCTCTGGGGGGTTGGTGAGGGGTTGTCAGAAGGGTTGCCAAAAACCATCAGAAAGTATTTTCCATTAGTCATGGTGGGTTCTGTGTGGAAAGTTTGGCCCAATTCTATTGTTGGTGAGGTTCAGAATGCTCTTTGATTGTAGGTGAACTATAAATCCCAGCAACTACAACTCACAAATATCAAGGTTTATTTTCCCCAAACTCCACCAGTGTTCACATTTGGGCATGTTGAGGATTTGTGCCAAGTTTGTGGATGCAAACAATCCGTCATGGTTTGAGTCCACAGTGCTCTCTGGATGTAGGTGAACTACAACTCCCAAACTCAAGGTCAATGCCCACCAACCCTTTGAGTATTTTCTGTTGGTCATGGGAGTTCTGTGTGCCAAGTTTGGTTCAATTCCATTGTTGGTGGAGTTTGAAATGCTCTTTGATTGTACGTTAACTATAAACCCCAGCAACTACAACTCCCAAAGGACAAAATCAATCCCCCCATCCCCATCAGTATCCAAATTTGGCACAAATACCCAATATGCCCAAATTTGGATACTGATGGGGATGGGCATAATGGGTATTTGTTCCAAATTTTGTCCAGTGAATGAAAATACATCCTCAATATCAGATATTTACATTGCAATTCACAACTGTAGCAATATTGCAGTTATGAAGTAGCAATGAAAATAATGTTATGGCTGGGGGTCATCACAACATGAGGAACTATACTAAGGGGTCGTGGCATTAGAAAGATTGAGAACCACTGATGTAAATAGTCTTTAGATTTTATATTGGGTCGGGCTAGCACAGCAGGTTAAGCAGCCTGCTATAGAAGATCCTGCCGACCGGAAGGATGGCAGTTCAAGCCCAGGTCGGAGTGAGCTCCCGCCATCAGCCCAGCTTCTGCTCACCTAGCAGTTCAAAGACAACAATGTAAGTAGATAAACAGGTACCGCTTTGGTGCAGAAGTAAAAGGCACCCTGAAAAATACCGGCAAAAATCCAAACAGAAAAGGCGTACATGAATGACAGACTCCTCGGCATGGAAAATTAAATAGCAGTACCTCCCCATAGCCGAGTCAAGTACAGCCGGATGCTGGAGATGAAAAGAGGGAAGCCTTGCCTCTGTTTATGTACTGTCTGTCTTTGTCAACTGTATAATGGCATTGAATGTTTGCCATATATTTTCTGCTATGAATCATCACAAAGCTTAAGATCATCAGGAGAGGCCCTGCTCTCGGTCCCACCACTTTCGCAAATGTGGTTGGTGGGGATGAGAGACAGGGCCTTCTCGGCAGTGGGCCCCCCATCTGTGGAACTCTCTCCCCAAGGATATCAGGTTGGCCACCTCCCTCCTGTCCTTTAGAAGACAACTGAAGACCTGGCTCTGGGGCCAGGAATTTGATTAGAGGCCAGCAGCAATAGGAAAAGGAAATTTGGATTTTACGACATGGATTCTCCTGGCTCGGTTTGGTTTTACTGGCACGTTAATCTATTAATTTATTGTTAAATTTTACTGATGATGTTGTACAATGTTTTTAAATGATTTTATTGTGGATTGTAATGTTCATGATATTTATGCTATTAGCATCCTCTGATGCTCACATGAGGCCGCGCTGAGTCCCTCTTGTGGGGAGAAGGGCAGGATATAAATATATGAAATAAATAAATAAATAAATGTACTTGTAATCTGCTCTGAGTCCCCTCAAAGAGACAGAGCGGAATATAAATAAAGTATATTATTATTATTATTATTATTATTATTATTATTATATTGTATGTTTAGAACTGTTTGTTACTTTTGAGTTTCTGTTAAGAGAAAAGGGGCAAACAAATAAACAGAGGAAAAGGAGGAGGAGGAGGAGGAGGGGAAAGGGGAAGAGGAAGAGGAAGAGGAGGAAGAAAAGGAAAAATGTAACTCCACCAGCAGACATTCGTACAATGCTAACAGTGCAGGATTTTGGCCTTACGTATTCTTGAAAGAGGTTAAATTAAATACAATCTTGAGCAAGGTGGCTTTTCAAAGCTGACCCCCAAATCCCACCCCATGGCAATGATCAAATTTCTGTTTTTAAGCCATTGATTCTCTCCTTCCAACAGATGTTGTTTCCCCAACTCGTTCACCTTTTATTCCCCCAGTCCCAGAAACCAGAAGGAAGACCAAGACTGCTGTTTGCAGAGTCTCGATCACATTGGTGTCAGCAGCAGGGAGACTTACTCTTCTGGCAAGTGGGAGGGCTGTTGCTCCAAGACAGATCCCACTGGCAAGTGAGGATGTCGGACCCCACAATGTCATAGCCTGGCTCACACTGGTAGGTCACCACGGTGCCGCGGATGACGGCAGCATGAGAAGCCGTGCGCCAGCCAAACTCCACTTCTGGCAGCTCAGGGCAAGTGTCATTCCGTGGAACCTCTGCTCACAAGGGAAAGAGAAGAGAACAGGTTAAGCCAGGCATGGGCAAACTCACACAGTTCCTAACAGCCGGTCACACCACTCAAGTCTGTAGTCCTTAATGAGAAAAAGATAAACAGAATTAAGCTAGGCTGAGGGAATCCCTTTCCCCTCATTCCAGAATGCCTCTGGTCATTCATTCATTCACTCCCTTCCATTCTGACCTTTTCGGTCTGTGTCTCTCTCTAGTTGTGTGTGTGAAAGAGAAAATAAAGTCTTTAGAGAGTTTCCCTTTAGTTTGAACTTAGAAATAATGGAATTAAAGAGAAAGCTTAGACTCAATCCTTTTCTATCAAGAAATACAGTTCTTATGTTTCAATAAACTCCTTGAAACTTTTAAGATTGACATCTGCATTTCGCTTCCTTAAGCTCAAGAATTCTTTCCAGCCATACTATCTTGCTTTCACTTGCTTGGGCTAAATGCTATACAAAGTATTCTTTTTGTACCATTTTGGGGGAATGTCACTAACAATTTCTCTGACCCATAAAGACCATCTGAAATTAAAATTGAGTAAAACCCATTTTCCTCTGTACGTATGCACTTTCCCTTTTATCACCCTATTCATTTGGCCTTTTTTCATTTTAAGCGGGAAATTTCACATAAGTGGTTAAATATATATCCCATAAGTATATATTTATGTTGTAAACATTTCAAATTCTGACATTTTTAAAAAATTCCAAACTGTTGTAGTTTAACCTTTGAATGTGCCTGCACCTGATCTCTCTGGGGATTCCAGGCCTATTACTCATTCTGATGACACTGGGGATTCTGGGTCTGCAAGTCAGCAGGAGAGCCAGCAAGAAATTTTAAGCCCTGAAAATGAGTGGTCTGTGTCTGAAGGCCACATTCCCGAAAGGCAGTTTGCTAGGGAAGCAAGGTCAGAAAGAGATCTGAGCTCAGTGAATGAAAAAGGAAGTCCAGATGGATAAACTAATGAGCAGTTAGATAGGAGATTTATGTTCCATCAGCATAGAGCTTCTTAGGAGAGTTTATGAAGGTCAAAATGCCTACATGCCAAAAAGTCCTTATCAGTTTCCCAGGGGAAAAGAATCATAGAATCATAGAATCAAAGAGTTGGAAGAGACATCATGGACCATCCAGTCCAACCCCCGGCCAAGAAGCAGGAATATTGCATTTAAATCACCCCTGACAGATGACCATCCAGCCTTTGTTTAAAAGCTTCCAAAGAAGGAGCCTCCACCACACTCCGGGGCAGAGAGTTCCACTGCTGAACGGCTCTCACAGTCAGGAAATTCTTCCTCATGTTCAGATGGAATCTCGTCTCTTGAAGTTTGAAGCCATTGTTCTGCGTCCTAGTCTCCAAGACATGTTTTCTCTCTATATTAGCTAGCCCAGCAGATGGGTCCGTCAGTCCAGGCAACGTTGGCGTTTGAGTATAGAACTACTGTCAAGTCAAGGGATTCTTAGTTCTGTATTTCATGTTTCCTTTTGTTCATGTCTCATGATTACAAGTTTTGAGGACTGTTCCTGAATCTCATGTTTTGGATTTATTCTTGTATTCCTGTATTCCTGATTTATTCTTGTATTCCTGTTTTTGATGCTACTTCGGTACTATTATCTCTGTGGGTTTGGACTTTGTTTTTTTATACTATTTTGCTGAATTGCTTTTCATATATATTTTTCAATAAACTGCCTTGCTATTTTACCCTGGACTGGAGTGTGTGTTAAGTATAGAGCCTTGGAGTGCTATACAAACTTCCAACCTATTATCCCATATGTGCCAACATTTCATGGTAAAAATGGTAAAAAATATCAATGAGGAACACACAGGGAAACCTTCAGGGAAAGGTCATAAAGTGTTTTCTTCAAATGTGTCAGGATGCTGGCTTTGAGCAAACTATTTTCCAACTGCCACCCCTACTATATAAGATGTTCTTTCTCATACCCTTGTACCGCACCAGGAAACCCTGGCTGAGGCCAAACAGAGGGTCCCCGGGGTCCGACTGGAACTGAAGGGTGACCGCTGGACCAGAGGAGTAAAGGCTGAAGCGAGGGTGTGGACCCAAGTACTGGCCAAGGATCCGAGCAGTTAAGTCTCCTCCATCAAAGATGGTCAATACATCAGACTTGCGGATGTTAAGGCTGGAAAGAAAGAGGGGAAAAATGTAAACATGAACTATAATTAAAAGGAGGACATGGAACACAAAGGGACATGGAACACAAAGGGGCATTATGTCTCTCTCCTCCATATAAATGGGTCAATGTGCATATGGCTAATCAAATGAATGGGTGAAAAATGAATCAGAGCCCTTCTTGGCAGTTACGTTAAGGGTTTTAAGGGCATTTGGTTTTGAACAAAGAAATAGGAATATTTTCATGTAATGTGGATGAGTTTGGTTTGGTAAAAATGAAGTGAGCAACGAGGGGGATGTTTCAGAAATGTGGGTAGCCACCATCAAGCTCAGAATTAGCAGAACCCACTTAAAAAGAAGGCTATTCTGAATATTAATGAAATGATGACAGTGCTTGTACTGATTAGGTTTCATGCACTCACTCTTTCATTGGTATGCAGACATAATCAGTATTTTTGTTTGGTAAACTTCTTCAGGTTTTAAGACTAGGACAAGTCTTTTCTTCCCACAAGTGACCCTGAAATTGGCTACTCCATAATTTCCTGTTGGAGAAAAAAGCTTCTCCGTGGCCTAAAATGCCCAGTGTCTGTCTTCAAGTTGTGAATCAATTTATAGTGACTTCATGAATTTTTATAGCATTTTCTTACACAATGAATACACAGAGATAGTTTTGCCAGTTCCTCTGAAATTTAGCCTAGGTAAAGATTTCCCCTGACATTAAGTCTAGTCATGTGTGACTATGGGGTGTGGTGCTCATCTCCATTTATAAGCCGAAGAGCTGGTGTCGTCCGTAGCCACCTCCAAGGTCATATGGCCAGCATGACTGCATGGAGTGCTATTACCTTCCCGCCAAAGTGGTACCTATTGATCTACTAGCATTTGCATGTTTTCGAACTGCTAGGTTGACAAAAGCTGGGCCTAACAGCGGAAGCTCACCCCACTCACCAACCTTTCGGTCAGCAAGTTCAGCAGCTCAGTGGTTTAACTCACTGCTCCACTGGGGCCTCTTGAAATTTAGCCCACAGCAGTGGATATTCACTGGCAGTCTCCCATCCATAGACTAACATACTTAACCTCCAAGATCTGATAGAATCTGGTCCCTTTGTGGTATTTAACCTCTTTCAAAGCCAACAAAATACCATAAATGTTATGAAACTATAAAGAGTTCCAGTCCTTCAAAGTTTCCTTGGAGAGACAGTAAGAACTGACCAATAGCTAGTTGTCCAATGCTACTCCAGACAGAAGGAGATTAAAAAGACAGGGGAATAGAGGCACAATGGGCCCCTGTGGGCATACGTTACTCAATGTTTGCTCTTTGCGCACGCCCACTTTATAGGCTGGTTTGATCAGGCATCACCTGAGTTATAATAGGTATCTTGTTTACCAGAGGTGATTTCCCCCCAAACTTATATAAGGACCTTACCAAGTTCAATGGGTGGGATGAATGATTTCAACAATCAATCTAAAGATGGATGGCGGAGTCAGAAGACCATGTGGACAAGATGGGATGCTGAGCCATGGTGATCCACCCCAACAAAGGGGCCGTGGTGGGTGGTGGCGGCAGGTGTAGGGTACCTACATCTCGATGTCCAGCAGCACTCGCTTCTCCTCTTGCACCCGGATGCCCCAGACACAGTCCTGGCCCTTTCCGTAAGACTGGGGCCAATCGGGGGAAAGTACCACACCTGTTGATTCGGAGAGTTCCCCCCCACACAATGCTGGAGGAAAAGAGAAGCATTGTCAGAAGGAAGCTATAGATGGAACTCAACAATGCCTCTGCGCTACTACTCTAAGCCAGGAGGCTTCTCTGTGCAAAAACTTTATTTTAGAAAAAACAACCACTGTGTGTCCCAGTTGGATAGGACTGAAATATCAAACCTATCTGAAATATCAAATTGGGCAAGTAGGCTTATTAACGAAAGACCCTCCTCATAAATGTACAGCAGAGTAACTTAGCAACAGCTGCGTAACCTAGCACCAGCAGCCAAAGGTGATAAAATAATAATAATAATAATAATAATAATAATAATAATAATACTTTATTTATGCCCTGCCTCCATCTCCCCAAGGGGACTCAGGATGGCTTACATAAGGCCACACCCATCAATACAGTAAACACAATATAAACACAAAAAACACAACAGAAAATCGAAAAATAAATTACATAAAATGCAAAACCAGAACCAAAAGAACAAAAACACACAGACCAATGTTATCTCTTCCATAGGAGGTTTTCTTTGTAGTAAAATAATATTGCTGGACTATTTACAATATCACGGTTTCCATAACATAAAGTTATTTATACTTCCTTCTTTGCTTCCACGCTGGGCTTCTTTCTCATGCAGATAAACAGCTTCGCTCTCACAGAGCTTCCTCTCACACCAAAGTTACACAGGAGCTTCATGCAGTAGCTTTACACACGACAGCCTTCACACTGGAGCTTCATACAATAGCTTTACACACAAAGCCTTCAACCTGGGAGTTCCTCTTACCAAAGCTTCTCACAACAGGCCTTCTCACAGACTAAGGCCTACCTCACACAGAGGCTTCTCTCATAGACTAAGGTCTACCTCACACTGTGAAGCCTTCCTCCCACTGAGGCGAAGTCTTCTGAATCAAAACTCCAAAAAGAGGAGGCTGATATCATTGAGGATGAAGATAAACGTGAAAGCGAAAATCTCATCTTTAGCAATCATTTGCCAATTTCAGCACAGAAAGAGCAGGTGTCAGTAATGCTTGAAAGTTTACTGGATGAATTATCTGCCAAAGATTGTTTACATAACACACTGAGGCCTGTCCTCCACAGAGACCTCTCACAGACTGAGGTTACTAAGCTACAGGCACACCTGCTTATAGTGAACTGCAGCTTTTGTTGAGGCATTGCATCCATTTAATCCTTTCAGTGCTTGACTCACATTTTTGTGATTAAAAATACCTCGTTAATTTTGAATATTTCTGACAAAACCTTCTGTATCCTGCAGGTGAGAGACGTGAAGCTGGAATGAACATTGAAACTGGCCAAGAAGGCAGACAGACAACAAACAATAACTTTGGCCAAGGAATGTCCCAACCCCAGGATATGGTTTCAGTCCAACTTACTATCAGCTGAGACAGAAAAAGGTGACTTCAAGCATCAGGATTTTATAGAACTTCAGAGATACACAGTGTGCACGAGCAATATCGAATGCATACATGTTAATCCTTAACTGAGGTCTATAAGACCGGCACAAAATGTGCCTAGAGATTTTTTTCAAGCTTGTTTGTTGCCTAAGAGGATGTTCTCCAGGTCTGGCATTATACATAACTATAACATCTAGCTGTTAGTCCTGAGCATGCACAATTGAACCATTTCTAGTGTAGCACAAAAGACAGAGCTCAACAAACAACGCAGGCTATTGAGAGACGTCGGTCATTGTCAAGATGGATTTTTTTCAGTCTCACTAAAATAGATCACCATATAGCTAAATCTTTAGTTCTTATTTTACACCAACATCCCTAGATTTGGATTGTAGCTCTCTCATTCCTCACAATTTCTATATTTTGCTAGCACAGGGGGGAGTTGCAGCCTGGCAACATATGAATGACCATTTGCTCTTCATCCTTGTGATAGACCTTGGTGTCCTCAAGGTTCACGGCAGGGGGCACATATGACCATCCCTCAATGATACTCCTGGTCCTATGGAGCCGCCTTTAATCAGTCCTGCAAGGCACTGCTTTCTGTTTATAGGTTTTGCATCTCTTATCTGGAATTCTGAAATGCTCCAAAATTATCCATGTGAGTTGCTGAGATTGTGACACATTTGCTTTCTGATAGTTCAATGTACACAAACATTTCAAGCCCAAAATTATTTTTTTTAAATATTGTACAAAATTACACTCAGATTGATATAGGGTATATATGAAATATAAATTAATTCTATGTGTAGACTTGGGTCCCATCTCCAAGGTATCTCATAAATGGATCCTATACAAATAAGTGGCCCCGGGGATAATAGGAACCGGACGGACCATCCTTCCTCTTTTGTCACTGCTTGGACAATATGTGACATTTAACATCCAGCATGAGATTTCCAGTCAATCATGATAATCATGCCACTGTCTTTGGAAAGGCTATTCTCCCCCTGTGTTATTCCCAGCCATTGGACATTTCTATGGATGATAGTTTCTGTTGGAATTTACAAAGAAGTCTGGAGTTTGTGCCATTGGGCTTAATCAGGAACTGGGATCAAAAGGGACAGTAAAAGTACTGGGAGTCCCATCAGGGTCATTGTGCCCACATATCAGGGATATGTAATCCCACCATGAGCCATCATTTCATCAATTGTTCTAAAACCTGCCAGCCCTTCTACAACCACTGGAAAGAGGAAAATTTACATCCAAGGCAGGTGGCACTCTCCCATGGGCTGGTCACTGACATCATCTACAACTACAGCCAAACCAGGTCCAGTTGGGGGCAGTGGGAATTTTGAACCTGAAAAGTGTATAAAAGTGTATTGTCGAAGGCTTTCATGGCCGGAATCACTGGGTTGCTGTAGGTTTTTTTGGGCTATATGGCCATGGAGGCATTCTCTCCTGACATTTCGCCTGCATCTATAGCAAGCATCCTCACTACCTCTGAGGATGCTTGCCATAGATGCAGGCGAAATGTCAGGAGAGAATGCCTCTAGAACATGGCCATATAGCCCAAAAAAACCTACAATAACCCACTGTATAAAAGTGCATATTTTTCTGTGTTATGTATCTCAGCTTATTTTGAAGGCGGATTACCGCAAGCTGGCATCATTTTCAGCTGAAAATAAATAAATACCTCGGTGGATTCTGCTTCAGCTTGGTGAGATTTATTCTGGAATATTGGCTTCTTTGGGTTGTTGTAGGTTTTTTCAAGCTATTTGGCCATGTTCGAGAGGCAGTCTCTCCTGACGTTTCACCTATGGCAAGCACCTTTGGAGATTGTGAGGTCTGAGGATGCTTGCCATAGATGCAGGCAAAATGTCAGGAGAGAATGCCTCTAGAACATGGCCATATAGCCCAAAAAAACCTACAACAACCCAGTGATTCCGAACATGAAAGCCTTCGACAATACATTGGCTTCTTTTCTTACCAAGCTAAACCCACAGCAGCTTGGATCTCATTATCCACTGCTGCCTTGAGTTGCCTTCGGCCTGAGAAAGGCGGTATATAAATAAATAAATAATTCTAACTTGCTTGATAAAATTTTGGACATATATACAAATACAGATATTCCAAAATCCTCCAGAAATATCCTAAATTGAGTCACCTTCAGGGTGAGAAGGGCGGCATATAAATATTGTAAATAAATAAATCCCAAATACTTCCAGCATTTCAGATAAGGGATATTCAGCCTGGACTTGGAAGCAAGTCTCACTCACTTTGGTGGCACTTAATTAAAAGTAGATCTACTTTGGATTAGAAGCAAAGGCAATTGTCAGATGACCCAAGCCAGAAGATGATTCCTGTTTCCTATAACCATGAAAACAACTTACACATCTTCATAAACGAATGCAAAGAAATTTGTGCATGCTGCACGACTGGAGATGTATTGAACTCTAGGTTAATTACCTTTGCAGGTTGGCTCGCTTTCATTCCAGCGAGGATCTCGTGCGTCTATGCATTCAATGGCAGAAGGCCCCTGCTCAAGCATATATCCAGCACTGCAGGAAAACTCGACCACTGTCCCCATGTGGTACAAAGGATCTGTTGTGCTGAAATTGCCATGGGCCAGGAATGGTTCGTAACACCGGTCTTCATCAAAAGCTGCCAGGAGGGGGAGGAAGAGAGTCATGAAAGCTATTCCCCAGGTGTGGCACCTACCTCTGGTCCCCCATTGCAATACCACCACTGGCCAGGAGATGGCAGCAGCAATGTATCTATTGCTGTATATAGATAATTGCCTGGAGGCAAAGAATTTTCTGGTGGTTAGGTCCACCCAGTATGTAGAATTCACCCATAATACTATCCCTTCTTGGTTCTGGTTTCCATCCTATAGTTGCTTGATCACCACATGAAACGAGAAGCCACCACTGGAGGAATGTCCTGGTTTAGAAATTCAATTTGTTTGGATGATGGCTTTCTCCCTCTCAATAGAAAACATCTTTTCCCCTCTCTAACCCTCTTTTCCCCATCTTCAAATCTACCAGAACCCTAAGGATGTTATCCCCTTTCCTTGAAAATAAGACCTAACAATAAAAGAAGTCCTAGCATGATTTGTCAGGATGCTTGTAATACCGGCTGTTAGGAATTATGGGGGACCAAAACACATGGAAGGCCAAAGTTTGCCCATGTCTGCTGTAATATATGACCCAATCCCCAGAATAAGGCCCAGTTAAGATCATCAGCCATGTCTGTTGCAACACACAACAAACATATTGAATTACAATATATCGTTTTTACTCAAATCTAAGGCTCAGCTTTTTTGACTAAATTACTTTCCCAAAGTTAAGATGCACATTATATTATCATAATATAGTAAATACTTTTTTGGTTTCAGGGTTTTGAAAACTGAGGTGCACATTAAATTTGATGGTGCATGTTCTGGTACAGCTGTACCAGGAGCTCCAATTTTGTTTGCTTTACATTAAATGTTTGTTTGAAGTCCTAGGTTTCAGGGACTCTGCAGATAGGTGGCTTCTTTTGGTTGCAATTATAGGGCAAGCCACTTGTCCATCATCATTAAGTTTTGGTCCCGCCCCTTGCTCAGGGCAATTGGGAAGGGAAGGGAGCCATTTTTTAGTTAGCTAGGTTAGCCAATGTACAGGACATCCCCTGTACAAAAGCTTCACCCTTTAAGAATTCCCAGGGGAGAACAGCTTTAAGAGTCTCCTAAGAATTTCCAAGGAAGCATCCCCACAGCTTTAAGAATTTCCAGGATTACAGAAATTTCAACCCGGTAGTGGTGCCCACATCAGTTAGGTTTAACAGCCTGGGAGAAGTTAAAAAGGGATTTTTCCTTTAAAGAAGAAGTTATTGAAGATAGTTGCCTGTCCTTCGTGGGCAAGTTTAGGGATTCACCAGTTACCTAAAAGCTTGGAATCATTTGCTTAATTTTACTGAAGACAAGAGAAGTTTCTGTTTGATTGTTCATTAATAAAATACTTTGTTGTACTTCTCAAGCCATCTAAAGACTGTTTGTGGTGGAAATCACTGAGAACTTCTCTTTAGGCCCCCCGGCTTCCCATTGGGCAAAGGTTGCACGTCCTGTTTTAAAGACAACTATTTACAGGCCCAGCGCACGACAGAACAGTGCATTAGACTTGAGTAAATACAGGTAATAATATTAAAATAATATTGAAATATAAATAATATTATTGGTCTCAATAGTTAAAAATAAATTAAAGCATAAATTATAGTTAAGTATTTGTAAAATCCCAAGTGGGCACCTTTGGATGAGAAATTTTGTGCATGAATAAATTAATAAATGTAGATTGTTGCACTAAAATGGCATGCCTACTTCTGGTACTTTATGTCCTTACCTTCATAGCGCAGGCTGAGGATGAGAGGTGTGGCAGGGCCCTCACTGGTCAGCTCCACAATGAGAGACTGGGCATCGCTTAGCAGCCCCCGTTCTGGGACATCGTCCATGTCGGAGTCATAGATGATGGGGGAAAAGGTGCTGCTCCCACTGCGGATCATCAGTCTGGGGATGGAAACAGACCCAGGAGACTCAGTTTGTTCACTCTCCTGATGCCCACCATCCCTGCCCTCTTTACTTAACCAATTTGACAATGCCAGCCTTGTTATAAAGCAGAGGTCCCCGAACTAAGGCCTGTGGGCCAGATGCAGCCCTCTGAGGTCATTTACTCGGTTCCTGCCCTAATTTTTAGACTTAGGTTCACCCTAAGTCTGAAATGGCTTGAAGGCACACAACAGCAATAATTCAAACTAACTTGACTATCTCATTCAGCCACAAGCAGACCCCACTTCCCATTGAAATATTGGTAAATGTATTTTGATACTATTGTTCTTAATTTTAAATATTATATTGTTCTTTTGTGTGTGTGTGTGTGTGAGAGAGAGAGAGAGATGTGCAGGATGCATGGAAATTTATTCATGGGTTTTTTTTTCAAACTCACTTTATCCCTGCTTTACTTGTGCATATATTGCGCGTATGCTTTCAAGTTGCCTATAAACTTGTCACAAGCCCATGAATTTTATAGGGATCTCTAAGGTTCCTTTCTCCTAAATACAGTCTATAGCACTGCTTCTTAAACTGTGGGTCTGAACTCCAAACTGGGTCCCCTTAGCTCAATGTCGGGATCACAAAAAAATGGTAATAGTAAAAGGTTTCTGAATGCCACATTTACATGATACTGTTAGTAACAACATGCATTGCTTACAGTGAACTCTATAGAAAATGCTTCAGCTGTACTTCACAAAAAGAAAAATCGCTTTGTTTAGCAAGCCATGTAAATGCTAATTCATTATCAGTCAATGTTTTATTTTATGCCTATTTTATGTACTAAGTGGAAAAGGTTTAAGAAGGCCTGGTCTAGAGTGCCTTGTATTCCTTGGTGGACTCCAATTCAAGTATTAACCAAGTGTGATCCTGCTTAGCTTCAAAGATGAGATCTGATATCTCTAGTCTTGCTTGCTTCCTCTTGAATCCTGCCTCAACATTTTTCCCTATCATATTAATATTATGCCTCCCTTCCAGTGTTTTCTCTCCTGTATCTCAGTGGTTCTCAACACTTTCTCCACCATGGACTTCCTTTTAAATGCCTTTTGTGGCTGTGGATCTCCAGGTCTCAAGATTTAAGGCACTAGACCAGGCATGGGCAAACTTGGGCCCTCCTGGTGTTTTGGACTCCAACTCCCACAATTCCTAACAGCTTAAGCAGCTGAGAGGGAAAAGGAAGGGGCCTGAGGCCTTTAGGAATTGTGGGAGTTGGAGTCCAAAACACCAGGAGGGCCAATGCCTGTACTAGATTGAATCAAATAATTATTTCAGGTTTCTCATGGAGGTCCTTCAAATTTCAAGTTTTCCAAAAGAAGCATAGGAAATTAAGATTTTGTTCTATTTCCCTTTTTGGCTTGCTTTCATCATTCACTCACACATTCATTCAAATTTAACTTTAAAAAATCATAACATTTCTTCACGACCCCTTATGATGGCATCACAGACACCCAGGGGTCCCTGGACCCCAGGTTGGGTACCACTGCTCTATCTCATTCCACATCCCCAACTATAATAATGATTTCCTCCCCACCGCCCTTTCTCTTCCACTTCACTGATGCCTCAGTGCTCTCTCAAGCTTCCCACCCCTTTCATAGCCTTGCTCCCTCCTCACTTATCATTATCTTCATCCAAGGCCACTCTCTCAAAGTGCAGGTGCAGGCGCTGGCCTTCGGGTGCCTCGATCAACCAACGGCACGTCAGGTTCCGACCGCCACGGGGTCCGCCAGGTGCTTCAGGGGCCACAATGCGCCCACGAGTGGCATTGTGAATCGTTCCCCCACAGGAAGCTAATTGGGAGAAAGACCAGTCATTACAATGGTTCCTTAAACAGAATTCTTCACTTCAGTGTAGTCCTTAATAAATGATGATGATGATGATGATGATGATGATGACGACGTTCATGTGGAATCTCCCTTCCTGTAGTTTGAAGCCATTGTTCCGCATCCTAGTCTCCAGGCCAGCAGAAAACAAGCTTGCTCCCTCCTCCCTATGACTTCCCCTCACATATTGATACATGGCCCTCACCATGTCTCCTCTCAGCCTTCTCTTCTTCAGGCTAAACATGCCCAGATCTTTAAGCTGCTCCTCATAGATCTTGTTCTCCAGACCCTTGATCATTTAAGTCGCCCTCCTCTAGACATATTTCAGCTTGTCAACTCCTCCCATCAATTGCAGTGCCCAGAATTGGACACAGTGTGATTCCAAATGTGGTCTGACCAAGGTGGAATAGAGGGGTAGAATGACTTCCCTGGATCTAGACACTATGCTCCTATTTATGCAGGCCAGATCCTCTTGAAATAGGGGCAGTCAAGTCCCCTTGAGAAATTCAGAAGTAGTACATTTTAAAGATAATATCCCATTGCTTGACTAGAGCATCCGGTAACACAAAACACATTACTTCTGAACATGGAGCAACCATTCTTATGGCTCAGTAACCATTGAAAAATACATTCTGTGTGTATATCTTATGTATTTTTTTTTCTTATGGCCATGGCGTCATAACAAGAAATTCTCAGGAATGGAATTCCCAGGAACAGAATTGGGAAAAATCAAAACCAAAAGAATACGAGTATATTTCATATCAGCATATTGTTGAGAGAGAAAATGGGGTATAAATAAACATAACAACAACAACAGCAACATTTTAGCTTCTGACTGTTAGTAATAAAGCCTGGTAAGAGGCAAATCTGTTTTTTAGAATGGTGTCATCATATGGGTGGAGTTGTAGATCAGTTAGAGGCTGATGGTTTAACAGATGACTTAGCGAGGATTGTGGCACAAAGTGATGAGCCCTTAAATCTGGGAAATTCAGGTCTGTGAAATGATGATTCTCTCTGTGAAAAAAACTGGCTTGGAAAGTGCAGGGCCTCAAGGCCAGTCAGAGGAGCCAGAAGTAGCAAGAGCATATAAGGAATCGAGTGAAGATCTGAGTGATAAGGAGGGTTCACAGGAAAAACCTCCTGTAGCTACGGGAATAAACAAAAGTATTTGTTTACATATCAGAGCCGAAAATAGATTACGTAGGTTGGAAAGATTATGTGGGAAAGTTGGGGAGGAAATTCACAGGAGATGAAATGTTTTCATGGGTTTCTATTAAACAACAAGTTGTTTACTTTAAGGGCAGTTCAGGCAACGCTACGTTGGAGTGAGAAGCTAAGCCTGAGTTCTCTTGTTTTTAGTTCAAGTCAAGCCTTGGTTTTGGATTTTAATATCCTGAAAGTTTTATATGTTTCTGTTCATGTACTCCTATTCAAGTTTTTACTAGTTATACTTTCTTGCTTGTGGAGTTATGCTGCATTTGGGATTTCTGGCTGTTTCTGGACTTAGAAGCATAGGATCATAGAATCAATGAGTTGGAAGAGATCTCGTGGGCCATCCAGTCCAATCCCCTGCCAAAAAGCAGGAAAATTGCATTCAAAGTACCCCCGACAGATGGCCATACAGCCTCTGCTTAAAAGTCTCCAAAGAAGGAGACTCCACCATACTCCGGGGCAGAAAGTTCCACTGCTGAACAGTTCTCACAGCCAGGAAGTTCTTCCTAATATTCAGGTGGAATCTCCTTTCTTGTAGTTTGAAGCCATTGTTCCACTGCGTCCTAGTCTCCAGGGCAGCAGAAAACAAGCCTGCTTCCTCCTTCCTATGACTTCCCTCTTCTTCAGGCTAAACATGCCCAACTCTTTAAGCCGCTCCTCATTGGGCATGTTCTCCAAATCCTTGATCATTTTAGTCACCCTCTTCTGGACACATTCCAGCTTGTCAACATCTCCCTTCAATTGTGGTGCCTAGAATTGCACACAGTATTCCAGATGTGGTATAACCAAGGAAGAATAGAGGAGTAGCATGACTTCCCTGGATCTAGACACTAGACTCCTATTTATGGAGGCCAAAATTCCATTGGCTTTTTTTTTTTTTTGGCTGCCACATTACATTGCTAGCTCAAGTTCCACCTCTGGAACTTTATGAAATATTTGGATTACTGTTTGGTTATCACCTGTTGCCAAACCTTTTGGATTATATATCTTCTTTTCTTATTCCTGCTTTTTATATGCTTTTTGTGTATTTTGGAATAAACTATTTGTTTATATTCCTGGACTCTTCTGTGGTGCGGTGGTCATATGTGTTTTCAGGCCTGGAGTGCAACAAGGGTATAGCAATCAGCCAAAGGGTAAGTGGGACAGATGGATTTCCACTATAGAAATACAGATTGAACATTCCCCTGGGATTCCAAAATACTCCAAAATCCAAACTGTCCACATGGGTGACTGAGAGAGTGGTGTGTTTGCTTTCTGATAGTTCAATGGATACCAACTTTGTTTCATGCACAAAATTCATTTAAAATATTGCATGAAATTACCCTCAGACTGTATGTTTAAGGTGTATATGAAACATTCACAAATTTTGTGTTTAAACTTGGGCCCCATCTCCAAGATATCTCATTTTGGACATATATGCAAATGCAGGTATTTCAAAAGAAAATCCAAAACATTTCTGGTCCCAAGCTTTTCTGATCTGAGATATGCAACGTGTACAGCTCTGTGACCTCATGTTAACCTTCCATCCAATGGAATCATGGAGTTAGTAGGTTAGAGGAGCATTAAATCTCTCTAGCTAAATGTCTCTTCCTAATTTGCTAACCCTAGGATTGCCAAGGCAAGGTTGTCTTATTTATTTATTATTTATTTATTTACGGCATTTTTATCCTGCTCTTTTCAGCCCAAAGGCAACTCAGGGTGGCGTACAGATCGGCAACAATTAAATGTCGCAACATACACACATACATACATACATACATACATATCAATTAAAAACATTTAATACCATATAAGAAAAATCTTCTTCCTTGGCCCCTCCACTCACCCACACAAGCAGGGCTGGTACCACTCCAACGGGGTCTGCTGACGTTGAGGCAGATGAGCGTCTCTTCACCTCGCAGGTAGAAGCCCGACTCACACTTAAAAGTGGCAGACCCACCGGGGTGGAGGTCTGTCACCATGACGTCCCCATTCTCAGGTCGGCTGGGGAAGCCACAGCTGAGCAGAAAAGCTAGAATTGCAGGGAAAGATAGAGTCGGTAACAGAAAAATGAACAAATCCCTCCTGCATCAACACGAGAGCAAAGAAAACTATGAGAACTGAGGAAAACAGCCAAAATTTCCATTACTGTCTGGTTGGTTGGTCAACCTGTAATATAAATTGTGTGGCAGGATATTGTTGAAGGCTTTCATGGCCAGAATCACTAAGTTGTTGTGAGTTTTCCGGGCTGTATGGCCATGTCCTAGAAGCATTATCTCCTGACGTTTTGCCCGCATCTATGACAGGCATCCTCAGAGGTTGTGAGATCTGGCAGGACTTAGAACACATGTGTCAACTCAAATCCTGTCCAACCCTCCAGATGTTGGATCACAACTCCTGCATTCCTTATCATCAATTACTAGAGCTGATGGGAGCTGTGATACAGTAACATCTGTAAGGCTGGGTTGTTGTAGGTTTTTCCGGGCTATATGGCCATGTTCTGGAGGCAATTTTTCTCCTGACGTTTCGCCTACATCTATGGCAAGCATCCTCAGAGGTAATGAGGTCTTGCCATAGATGCAGGCGAAACGTCAGAAGAAAAATTGCCTCCAGAACATGGCCACATAGCCCGGAAAAACCTACAACAACCCATGGATTCCGGCCATGAAAGCCTTCGACAATACATCTGTAAGGCTGCTGTTTGTGCCACTGGATCAGGAGAGTGAGGTTTGAATTTAGAGACAAGGCTTCTGGATATGATGTGTGACATTAAAATGCCCTTTAACCTTTCCCCAATCTCAGAGTCACAAGGGCTATTGGATTACAATTCCTGTCATCCCCAAACAACATGGCAGGCAGTCAAAAGGGATGGGAGTTGTTGTTCAATAATATTTGGGGACCTAAACTGGGTAAAAACTAAAGCGCACTGACCACTATGTAAAAAATATAAAATTGGTCCTCTGTATCCATGGATTCTCTGTTCATGGATTCAACAACCCTTTGAAGGCCACCATAAGACAAATGTGGCACTTGATGAAAATGGCATCCTTGGACTAGAAGATCCTAGAGAGGTGTTCTGTCTGATAAACAAACAGCACTTTTTTAAACTTGGATTTAAATTTTCACAGGAGTCCTGTATCCCTGACCCTAGCAAATGTGGAGGGATGACTATACTAACCAATGGGGATTATGGGAAATGTCAATTGCTTACCTTGATAGTGGAATTTGAAGACTCCAGGGGTGGTGGTGTGGTAGCTCTGAAAGTGAATCAACACCTGGTTCGTTGGGCTACGGATCACTTGTCCTTCAACCATCAATGACTCATTGGCCAAGACAACAGGCTTCTCGCCCCCAAGACCTTCCACAGTCAGTGAATCCTCCTTGGATAGATTCAAGCTTTGCACCTAATAATGGAATATAGACAGAGGATAAAACAGAAGTATTGCAAAAAGAAAATGGTTGGAAAGAGGAGGAGGGTTCAAGAAGAAGTGGGATTTATAATCTAAGAGCCTAATATGTTGTTACTATTGTTTGCCTTTAAGTTGCTTCCAACTTATGGCGGCCTTAAGATTACTACTTGGATGGGAGACAACCAACGGACACCAGGCGTTGTAGGCTATATTTCAGAAGAAAGAAACTGGCAAACCCTTCTTCTGAGTATCCCTAGGTTAAGAAAATTCTGTGAAATTCATAAAATCACCCTACATCAAGTGACAATGTGGAGAAAGATATACACACAAAGGTGAACCTATCATAGGGTTTTGTTTCCAAGTTTTGTTCAAAAGGGGTTTGCCATCACTTTCTCCTGAAGTTCATAGTGTGTGACTTGCTGTTGGTCACCTAATAGGGATTCAAACCCTGGTCTTCAAGGCCCCATCTACACTGCCATATAAAATCCAGATTATCTGCCTTGAACTGGATTATATGGCAGTGTAGATTCATATAATCCAGTTCAAAGCAGATAATTTGGATTATTTGCTTTGATCATCTGGATTATATGACAGTGTAGACCCAGCCCCAGACTTCTAGTCCAACATTCAAACAACAACCACAGTAACTCCCCAAAATAAGCGCAATTTATTAAAGAGGACTTTAATAAGACTGATCCATTCCACCAATCCCAAGCATTAATGCTGGTCTAAGAATCACATGTTAAGAGCAATTGTTTCAGTTAGATATGAAAACAAAGATTTGCTGAGGAACAGACTGCTATAAAAATCAGAATAGTTCTCCAAACAAAATGAAAGGACAATAGTGAGAATTACAATAACATAAGTGTCAGCATTTCTCTGAAAGGAGCAGCACATTTCAGTCACATCCAAGCTCCTTATGTCAAGAGAAAGTGTGTTGAGTTTCAAAATCAAGAAGTTGTCAGCAGCAAACAAGGTGGGTTAAAATTTCAGGTTTATCTACATTGCACTCCACCAGTTCCATGCTCCTCCAACTGCCTTGGCTCCATTCTACAGAATCCTGGGACCTGTATTAGAGGCCTCTTCTACACTGTCATATAAAATCCAGATTATCTGCTTGAAAGTGGGTTATATGGCAGTGTAGACTCAGATAATCCAGTTCAAAGCAGATAATGTGGGTTATCTGATTTGATTATCTGGATTGCTGTATATAACAATGTAGAAGGAGCCTTAATGACACACTGAGAATTCACTGTCAGAGATCTTTACCCTTGGGAATTACAGTAATAGAACACCCTAATCAATATCTTGCCCAAATGATAAAATTCTGGAAGCACCGTAGTTAAAAAGGTATGAACTGATAGAGTGTAGATAAACTCATTTGAAACCCAGCTTGTTTGCTGCTGACTGTTTTATTTTTAACCCCTTGAAAAATGGCCAGCAAGAAATCTTTAATTTCAGAGTATGCAGTTCTAGGTTCACCAAACCTAGAACATTCTGGGTTCACCAAATGCCACTCACCTGTACTTCTATCCCATAGCCCATGTAAACAGAGATTGTGTAGGTACAGTCCAGGCCTCCATAAAAATTGGCGCCAGCATAATCTGGGGATTCAACGTAGCCTTCCACATCGGTGATGTTGTTGTTGCAAAACACTTGAAGAGGAGACACAAGACAGTGAACCATCAATTCACTTTCCTCCTACATCACACCATACTTTCTTAAGCAAATTCTATATGCCAAATCTGGATTTTTTTTCACACCACACCCTTATTGCTTACCAGGCGTGTGCACCGTAGTGATGGTTGTTGTCGTGATCAGTGTGGTTGTGGTCTCCTCATCACCTTCAGGGATGAAAGCAGTGGTGGTGGCAGAGACATGCTGGCTGGTAGAGCCTGTCTCATCTGGTGGAGGGGGAAGGCGTGGGGGGGCAGCTGCTGTCGAAGCTGGGGGGGTCGTGAGGAGGAAACCCGTAGGGGGAGCTGCGGTGGTCAAGGGAGAAGGACCTGTGGCCACTGCTTCAGAGGTCTCAGGAACCACTCCACCATCCAGGTGCTGGACGGGAGGATGGAAGGGGGGCAGAGTGGAAGGATTCCCACCTAGGACATTTGGGAGATGGGTGGGAGAAGAAATGTAAAAAACAGAAGGGAGAAGGGTCAGAACATTAGAATCATAGAATTGTAGAATCATAGAGTTGGAAGAGACTTGGTGGGCCATTAGGAAGAAAAGCTCTTCTACAATTGTGACCACCTCCCCAATTACAAATCCTACACATGCATTATTTTTCTGGTAGAGAAGTCATACATAGCTTTGGTGGAGCATCAGCTGTTCCCATAGAATGCATTACCATATCCTCACCCCCACACCCCATCCCAGTCATTTTCTCCCATCCCATAGATTGCTCTTGTTTGTTCTCACCAGGAATGGGGTCTTCCAACAACTCGCTGCCCAGAAACTCCTTCCTCAGCAGAGCCCCCTGCAGCAAATCCGAGATGCCTTCAGCATTGGGGGGCAAGGACCCCCTCACCTTGGATGAAACCCCCAAGTCCTCTTCCTTTGGGTTCCCCACATCCTCTGGGGGCAGGGACTCCAGTGGCAGGGCAGGGGTGGCAGGGACCACGTCATCATTCTCCCAGAGGGGCAGGCCTGGAGGAAAGAGAAGGGTGGAGGGAGATTTGTACACAGCAGATCTGGGCTGATATTGGAAGATAAGCAAGATAGGCACTGGTTAGTACATGGATGGGAGACCAGCCATAAATCGCAAGCGCTGTAGGCTATGGCACCATCTACACTGCCATATAAAATCCAGATTATCTCTTTTGAACTGGATTACATTAGTCTACTCTGTAATATAATCCAGTTCAAAGGAAGGAATTGGAAAAACCGTCTCTGAATATTCCTTGCCTAAGAAACTCATGAAGGCACATACATATCATTCCCTCAAACTTCCCTAGAAGAATCATATGTGTATAGGACTGTCAGAGGGAAAACTGGAGGTTACTGCACCCTTGATAGATATCTATTAAAGGGAATTTCAGGTTTTGCTGATCAAAGAACCAGATAGCAAGAAACACTTGCTGAAATGAACGTGTCTCCATAACTTTTAACAATATACCATTCTCAGTTTTCACTGTAGCAACCCTAACCACATAATTGAGATGCAAAGTATGATACAATCCCCATATCTGCAGGAATTGTATCCATGGTATCATTTATCCATGTCTGAAACATGTCCTCTCTAGCCATTTTCTAGGTCCTCCAACATGACTCAATGGTGTTCTTGGAGCAAAAGTCCTTCATTTAAGTAGAGTTGGCTATTATCCATGTGAAGTCCAGGAACATATCCCTGTGAGTGATGGGTCATACCATAATAATGCTTATCTAGAACCAAAACATGGCAATTCTTTTGTCATATTCTCATTCTTTCTGTGTCAGTGCTGACCAAAACAATCTTCATAGGGTCTCAACCCAATCTTAAACAATGGTTTCATCCAGATCTTTTTCTATTGACAGTAGACATGGAGGCCCCATCTAAGCCTCTTCTACACTGCCATATAATCCAGTTCAAAGCAGATAACCTGGATTTTATATGTCAGTGTAGAAGGGGCCTCAGAGATGGTTTGGCCAGTTCCTTCCTCTTGATAAGTGCCTCAGCACCCAGTATTCATGACTAGTGTCCCATCCAAGTACTAGTCATAGTTGACCCTGCTTAGTTCCCAAGATCAGATAAGAATTAATGCTTTTAGGGTATTTAGGCTTCATAACGTCATCTAGAAAAATAAACAACACCACAAGACCTGGCATTTTGCCTCAACTGAAGTGGAGGCATCTCTGAGGGTGGAGAGGATCCTTGATGGCTGCACCCTTTTGGGTGCTTGGAATGGCATTTCTAAGACAATGGAAGTAGCAAGGGATTAAGTGAGGTTGCCCAAGTCAAAGAATGACATTGAGCACAATTAGTTTTGACTGTCCAGTGCCTGTTCCCAGACAGCAAACAAAGATTTGAGTCTCTGGATGTTGTTTCAGCAATCACATTGCTTTTGTAATACAGGGAACCCCTGATGTCTTTAGGGAAATTGCCATTGTTGGTATTTACATGTGTAGGACTGGCCATTGTCCCATAGATTAGGGTGCTGGAGAGAGTTCTTGGAATGTTGTTCCAACCCTGGGGGGTTGAAAGGATCAAACTGGGGCCCTCTGACTTGCCTTCAGAAAGATTAGTTCAAATAAAAATAAAGATAAAATGTTATAAATATAATCATGAGAGGCGAGAGCAGTGAGGAGTTGGAAAGGGAGAGATGGCTGCTTTTATAGAGGTGGAAAGTTATGAAGTTGAATGTATTGTTGAAGGCTTTCATGGCTGGAATCACTGGGTTGTTATGAGTTTTCTAGGCTGTATGGCCATGTTCCAGGAGCATTTTTTCCTGATATCTCACCTGCATCTATGGTAGGCATCCTAAGAGGTTGTAAGGGATAAAAGTGTGGTAATGTTATTATTTTCCTAGTTTCCAACAGACCTCACAATCTCTGAGGGTGCCTGCTATGGATGCAGGCAAAACATCAGGAGAGAATGCTTCTGGAACATAGCCATACAGCCCAGAAAACTCACAACAACCCAGTTATGGAGTTGGTTCGTTGATTTCTAGCTGATCCGGGTACATGTGCTAAAGAAGAAATGGAAACAAAGAGACAGATAGGGAATGTGGCTGCTACAAGGAAGCAGGAGCCATAATGGTGAGATACGTTGTATCCCTTGACTGTTTCAGTGTATCTGGTACAGTGGTTCCCAACTTGTGGTCCGTGGACCACCAGTGGTCCGCAAGAATGAAAATATGGTTCGCAGCCTCAGCATTACTACACCAGCAGCAAAAATATATAAGGTAAATATACAGAGAGCGATTGGTCTTGCAAAACCCTCTTATAGTGCCAAGGCAACGGGGATGTCGGGAGGGGAGAGACTGACAACCCACAAAAGATTACTACTACCACATCAGCTGTAGACAATTAAATGTGGTTTTCTGTGGATGAGCAGATGGCGACTACTGGATGGCATATGTTCTGTATCAAAAACTAGAGATGATGTGGTCTATCCAATGCAGTTTTCTGAATCAGCACCCCAAATAACCAAACGAAATCTAAAGTTGACCACAAACTGATTCGTAACCCCTGTGATACTAATGTTGGAGAGGGTTCCTGGTCAAGTGGTCCCTGGTCAACGTGATCCCTGGACAAAAAAAAGGTTGGGAACCACTGATCTAATAGAAGGGGAAAGGCCTTATTTACTTCTATCATGACTCTAGTCAATTATAGTTCTCTGCAACCCTGCCAAGGCTGCCATCAGGAGTGGCTTCCACTTTAGGGTCAGTCTGTCTACAGGGTGTTTTAAATCCAGGGGAACTGGTGGCACGCAGCCCCACTATCCAACCCTCTGCACCCCTGATAACCTAAACCCATTTCTTATGTGCTATATTCCAAACTGGGTCAAATCTGATGACTGGAGCCCTGAAATGTGGGATTTGGGTGTTGCTGATGGTGTGCAAGTGTTAGGAGGACAAAGAGGTGCCACCACTGAGTTCTCTGTCCATTTCCTTTGGAAAATCATGGTTACCATCCCTGGGACCTTTTATTTTGAGGGTAAGGGCATTGATTTTCAACAACAATCACACCTCAGACAGATAAAGAAAAGGCTTCGTTAAAAGGTCTGACACCCTTGATAGACTTTTACCACATATCAAAGTCTTTCCATTTGAGTATTTTTTGTAATGTTGTATTTATATAATTTACCTATTTTTAATTGTTTTGTTTTATTTTGCTATTTAATTGCTTTTAACAGTTGTGTAAGCAACCACATGTACAGGGTATGCATGTATTTATGTCCAAATAGAGAGACACAATGCAGGTGTTGAAGGAAAAAGAGTTATTATCAGTATAGTCATCCCTCCATATTGGCAGTTTTTACTTTTGCAGGTCTGATTCACGGATTTGATTAAAATGTTCTCCTTGGGAATATCTAGGTCCTCCAGTACAATGATATAGTCAACTTTCAGCGGACATTGACTATAGAGCAGGGATGGGCGAACTTGGGCCCTCCAGGTGTTTTGGACTTCAACTCCCATAATTTCTAAAAGCCTTGGGCCCCTTCTCTCCCCCCCCCTCCCTTAGCTGCTTAAGTAGCTGAGGGAGAAAAAAAATGCATGGGGCTGTTAGGAATTGTGGGAGTTGAAGTCCAAAACACCTGGATTGCCAAAGTTTGCCCATGCCTGCTACAGAGTCATGCTGGAGGGCTTAGAGATTCCTAGAAAAACATTCTCTCCAGTAAAAAAAATAGCATTTTTTCTTAATTTGGAAGTATTTTTCACTTTTTTTAGGGTCTTCCACCCCAACCAAAAGAAAACGTGGATGCTCTCCATAATCCAAATCCAGTCTCTGGCAAAACAAGCACTGTCATTTTCTATAAACGGTACAAACATCCCACCTCTGAGGACCAGTCCTACAATTCGGTGGAATGAAGCAATGGATGATAATGCATGGTTATGGTAAGTTGGCATCATCGTGTCCTTCACGTCACACAGCAAAACATTTGGGCCTAACTCCACTAAGTCTAAACATAAATATACATATATAACATTTGTGAGGGTCATCCACCCCTAACCAAAGAAAATGTGGAGGCTCTCAGTAATCCACTTCTAGTATCTGGCTAAACAGGCATCATCACTTTCTAGAAATTGTACAACCATAGCACCTCTGAGGACTATAGCACCTCTAAGGACCATTTGGGCCCAACTCCACTAAGTCCAAATATAAAATATACATATATAACATTTGTGAAGGTCTTCAGCCCCTAGCTAAAGAAAATGTGGAGGCTCTCAATAATCCACTTCTAGTCTCTGGCAAAACAAGCACCATCACTTTCTACAAATGGCACAACCATAACACCTCTGAGGTCCAGTCCTACAATTCAGGAGGATGAAGTAATGGATGATAATGCATGGATATGGCAAGGTGGCAACATCTTGTCCTTCACATCTCACAGCAAAACATTTCAGTCCAATTACACTAAGTGCAAACATAAAATATACAAATATCACATTTTCCTCTTCTTGAGGAGTTCATGTTCTACCACTTCCATTTATATTTGGCTAACATTGCCTCCCTTGAAGTTGGGGGAAAGCAAAATTCTTCCCATTATTACCTTGTCTTATATAATGCCCCCATTTGCTATACTTATTGTTTGTTTGCGGTTTAGGCGTCTGAGTATGATGGCCTTCCAAGTGTAGTGTCTTGGTGGTAGATATGTAGGTGACTGTGGACCCTATTCTTGACCCACATGTTCTTCCATTGTGAGGGCATCTATCTATACTGATTATAGAATGCTAAAGGCATTTGGTGTATGTTCTCATCATCCAAAACTGGCCTATGTGTTCTGCCGGAGGAGTCATCTCAATAAAAGGGGGGGTCCAGATCAACCCAATTAATCATTAACAGAAGGTAGGGACCCCTTTTCCCTTTATTGATACAGGCTGGAACTAACTGGATGCTTAGATCCTCAGGACAAAAAGGCAACCCAGATGAACTTGGGTGATTAAACCACGCTCAGGAGATGAAGTAACCGTTCCACATTAATCTGCCTTGTTGGCGAAATTGATAACTATGCTGCCACCAGAGCTAAGTGGTTTGGAGTTACGTGATCTCAGGGACGAAGCGGGTGGCGAAAAGGTACACCGGGGGAAGTGGCGAACATATGTTTTAAGTGATCCTGTGAATGGCTCTTTCCCTCCTCCTCCCGTTTTTTACTGCAGAAGGCTGCGTCATTTAGCTCCATATTTTACACATTAAACTTGGCCTTGGTGCTGGGGAAACAGAGGAGGGAGGAGAGAAACAAGTTGGCCGGGAGAAAAAATAGGAAATCTACATCTCAGATGCTGTCCGGCTCCAAGAAGCAGCTCAGGATTGGGTTCTCAAGGGCTGGGAGAAAGGGAAAGGAAGGGAGTCTGCTGCAGAAAACTGGCCAAGGCGATGGGGATTATGAGCCCCGCACATCACTCTCGCTGCCTTTTTTGTGACGAGTTCGGCAGTGACAGCCGTGGCCGCCGCAGGCGACTGCCAGCGTGTGAGATCCTGGCAGCTGCTGGCGAGCCATTAATTGCTCTGAACTCGCTCCATTAAGAAGGCCAGCTGCCTGGCAGGCCTTGTAGGCCTAGCCATGGGTTGCCCTGGTATAAAGCATCAGTCGTCTTATGGGAAAAAGGGAAAGGCTAGTCTTGCCCATCTTGTTTGTTAAGGTCTTCCTGCCATCTCCCCCCAGATTCACTCAAACTAATGAACACTTGTCAAAAATCAGAATCGGCTGCCTCCAAGATGCAAAACAACCTCTGAGACTGCATTAAGTCTGAGCACACGCCTCCCAGTTCCATGGGCTTGTGCCTTCTCCCCAATCAAGGGGGGTTATCCTTGTAATTGTCACCTCAAAGTAGGAGAATGGGTGCCCTCCACCTCCATGGCATCCTATGCCCATCCTCCTCCTCCATTCTTCGCCATCTCTCTTCCCACATCTAACTTCCTTGCAGCCATGATGCTCCATAGCCTCGGCCATGCAGCCCCCCCATCTCCACAAACCCTTCTGGATGGCCAAAATACATCCAGGACCACCAAAGTTCTCTCTCTTCGCTGCTATTGCCATGCTGCATGTGTACTCAAGCAATGCAAATGCCTCAGCTAAACAAATCAATCCCCCTTTCCTTTACACAGTTCCCCAAATTCTTTGCAACATGGCATGCCATACGCTGCAAAATTGTACAACAGCCACTATCAGTCCTATATTGTGCTTTTTCACCTTTTAGAATTAAGAGATACTTAATTGTGAGGTTTTATTGTTATTAGGACTAAAAATAAAATAGTCTCACCTTTTGATTATGGTTGAATTCACAATGTTTCCCTTTGCAATATTGCATGAAAGACCCCCAGCATCCCGTTCCCTTGTTCTTTCTTTCTCTTTCATTGAAAATACCTATCCACCTCTCTTTGGTCCCTATTTCTCTGACATCCACATTGCAATATTCAGCTCAGTTCCCAAGTGTCTAATCTTTGGTCATATTAATAGCCTCCTGTCCAGTCAGGGTCAAGCCCAGATATCAATTTAACTTGTAACGTTCTGCGACAAGCTTGACACTCTCTCCCTTTATTAATAACTGACCCCCCTGAAATCCACACTCCTCGTTTCAATGTTGCATGGAGGCATATTATTAAATATAAAAAAGGTAATTCCCAGACCTCTCTATACCACATTTTTCCCTTCTGAAAGTTAACATCTTGCTATTGTGACAGGTAGAGTTCTCCATTCAGTCTGCTACAAGCCCCAAAGAACAGCACCCCAATTTTCCCCCTCATCTGCAACCAATTCTACCAATTCTAACCCCCATACCCTTATTTTTACCTTCCTTCCTATCACAATGTCATTTCCATATCTGTGTTATTATTCATACCATAAAGAAAACAAACATTTCAATTTTTATTCAAAGGTGCATTTGGAAATATTGCTCATACGTTCACAACTCTAGGCTCTAAGCATTCACAAACATACCCACCTGATATCTGCACCGGGTGGTGCTGGTGGTGGTTATATATTTCATACCCTTATTTTAATTCCACACAAAATACTGTCAAAATTGAGGCATATCCATCCCATTTTGGGCACCCCCCCCCCAACCTCCCTCTCCCCATCTCTTACCTTGTAGAAGAGGCAAGGAGCAAAGCAGCAGAGGAACCAGCATTTTGGATGCTGCTTTTCCTGAACAGCCCATTTTGGATTTCCTCAGACCTGCAGAATACCTAGTCTGGCTATTTCCTTCTCCTACCAGGCAAGGGAGCCGTGGAGCCAGGAGCCGGCTGAGCAAATGAAAATGCAGGAGATTGCCTTGCAATGGCTATCCCTGCTATTATTTTTCAGAATATTTATTTTCCTTTCCAAAAGCAAGCTGAGCTTTATATGTTGGAAATACCTAGTTCTTTACCTCTCCACTCTGTTTCTGGTCACTAAATGCTCTCTCTGTGTGTGTACTTGAAAACCTACAATATGTGATGCTCTCTTTCTTTCTTCTTTAAAGATAAATACTAAAGGTATCCTCCTTAGATACAAATCTTGAAGATGAGGTGGTCATCTGGACATCTTCTTGTGCTCCGTTCCAGGCCACTTTAACAAAAGATCTCTTTCCTGCCTTCTCTCTTGTGATTTTGGCCAATAAAGCAGCCACCTAAGCTCACTTTGATCGAGAAAATGATGCTGAGATGGATCTCCTTGCGTACAGAAAGCCTCCCTGGTTTCTTGGCAAAAGGAACGGACTGAATAGTTCTGCCTTTCCACGACCCATATGTTCCCTCTGAAGTGCTTCAGAAGCCAGACCTCTGAGCAAGCTACCTATATACACCTACCCAAAAGGAATGTATACACTTCCTATGCTACAAGGACTTGACGTTTAGTGCCAGTGGCATGCTTGCATCCCCCCCACTCTGCCCAATCTTACTAAATGATTTCTGAGTGTTACAAAACCCACATGCAAACACAACACATAGATGCGGTGAACTACCGCCTTTAAAAAAAACCAAGAACCCCTTTCTCTTTTTTCCTCTCTTTCTCAATCTCTCTCCCTCACACCCACCCCGTCCTTGACAATGAAACGCAACGGATGGCAGCCTGCGCCTTTGCAAAAAAGCAACGCAGCTGGTAGATACAGATTATGCTGGGTCCTATGATAGCCCTTTGCAGAATGGAGAATATGAGCTTCCCTCCCCCACTCTAGCAGATGCCTATAGGTATATGATTAGTAAAGGCTCTCTCTGAGTGTATGTTTGTGTGTGTGTGTGTGTATATATATATATAGTATTTCTTCCATTCTAAAACACACTTTCCTTCTATATAAACATCTCTTAAAAACAGGACAACTCTTTGAATCAAGGGTGCATTTTCATATATATATATATATATAATATTTCTGTTGGTGGTAGTGAAATAAATGTTAATCTTACAATTGATGGCATCTTTGAATTTAAGAGCTATTATATGTACATGTATATACACACATATACAGACATTGCTGTTCCTTATGTAAAAACAAAGATTAAGGCATTGCCTGCTCTCATGCAAAACAGAGGCCTTATCTAAGAATGTTGCTTTCTGATCTGGAAGACAATACATCTAGATAAATGGGCCACTCTTTCAAAATGATACAGGGAGACTATGAATGGCCTGTTCTGCGATAGACAAATAAATGGACCAGGGGAGTCAGAGCAAAGGCAAAGAAAGGTATGTTCTTCTAGTTCAGTGTTTCTCAACCTGGGGATTGCAAGTGGGGTGTCAGAGGAGTCACTAAAGACCATAAGAGAAAACAATATTTTGGCCCAAATTTATAATTGGTGAGGTTCAGAATGCTCTTTGATTGTAGGTGAACTATCAATCCCAACAACTACAACTCTCAAATATCAAGGTCTATTTTCCCCACACTCCACCAGTGTTCACATTTGGGCATATTGAGTGCCAAGTTTGATCCACATCCATCATTGTTTGAGTCTACAGTGCTCTCTGGATGTAGGTGAACTACACCTCCAAAACTCAAGGTCAATGCCTGCCAAACCCTTCCAGTCTTTTTTTGTTGATCATAGGAGTTCTGTATGCCAAGTTTGGTTCAATTCCATTGTCTGTGGAGATCAGAGTGCTCTTTGATTGTAAGTGAACTATAAATCCCAGCAACTTCAACTCCCAAATGACAAAATCAACCCCACCCCCCCGAACCCCACAAGTATTCAAATTTTGACATATTGGGTATTTGTGCCAAATTTGGTCCATTTAATGAAAATACATCCTGCATGTCAGATATTTACATTACGATTAATAATAGCAGCAAAATTACAATTATGAAGTAGCAACTAAAATAATTTTATGGTTGGGGTCACCACTACACGAGGAACTGTGTTAAAGGGTCGCGGCATTAGGAAGGCTGAGAAACACTGTTCTAGTTTGCTACCAACATGAGAGAAAATTTTGAACCGAAATTTTAAAAAATAGAAGTTAGCCATTGTGTTTTGTATGTATAAAGGTAAAGGTAAAGGTAGTCCCCTGACATTAAGTCCAGTCATGTCTTACTCTGGGGTGTGGTGCTCATCTCCATTTCTAAGCCGAAGAGCCAGCGTTGTCCGTAGACACCTCCAAGGTCATGTGGCCAGCATGACTGCATGGAGCACCGTTACCTTCCCACCGGAGTGGTACCTATTGATCTACTCACATTTGCATGTTTTCAAACTGCTAGGTTGGCAGAAGCTAGGGCTGACAGCGGAAGCTCACGCCGCTCCCCGGAATCGAACCTGTGACCTTTCGATCAACAAGCTCAGCAGCTCAGTGCTTTAACCCACTGCGCCACCGGGGGCTCCTTTGTATGTATACTGATCACAAATAAGGTTTGGCCTTGGACCAATGGAGTCTGCACGTGATCAAGTCACAACAGCTGGCCCTTTCTTCCCTCCCTTTTCTTCTATAGTAGAAGAGCAGAAAGATTAACATATGATTTCGTTGTTGTTCATTCGTTCAGTCGTTTCCGACTCTTCGTGACCTCATGGACCAGCCCACGCCAGAGCTCCCTGTCAGCCGTCACCACCCCCAGCTCCTTCAGAGTTAAGCCAGTCACTGCAAGGATACCATCCATCCATCTTGCCCTTGGTCGGCCCCTCTTCCTTTTTCCTTCCATTTTCCCCAGCATCATTGTCTTCTCTAAGCTTTCCTGTCTTCTCATGATGTGGCCAAAATACTTCATCTTGGCCTCTAATATCCTTCCCTCCAATGAGCAGTCGGGCTTTATTTCCTGAAGTATGGACTGGTTGGATCTTCTCACAGCCCAAGGCACTCTCAGAACTTTCCTCCAACACCACAGCTCAAAAGCATCTATCTTCCTTCGCTCAGCCTTCCCTATGGTCCAGCTCTCACATCCGTAGGTGACTATGGGGAATACCATTGCTTTAACTATGTGGATCTTCATTGCCAGTGTGATGTCTCTACTCTTCACTATTTTATCGAGATTGGACATTGCTCTCCTCCCAAGAAGTAAGCTTCTCCTGATTTCCTGGCTGCAGTCTGTGTCTGCAGTAATCTTTGCACCTAGAAATACAAAGTCTGTCACTGCCTCCACGTTTTCTCCCTCTATTTCCCAGTTGTCAATCATTCTTGTTGCCATAATCTTGGGTTTTTATGTTTAGCTGCAACCCAGCTTTTGCACTTTCTTCTTTCACCTTGATTAGAAGGCTCCTCAGCTCCTCCTTGCTTTCGGCCATCAAAGTGGTGTCATCTGCATATCTAAGGTTGTTAATGTTTCTTCTAGCAGTTTTCACCCCAGCGTTCATCAAGCCCTGCACATTGATATATATGTGTGTGTGTCTGTGTGTCTGTGTGATATATGTATTTATTATTATTGCAAACTCAAGACTGGCATCCTGGTAAATATTCTGTTTGATCCACACATTTCCCTGCATTCTATATTTATTTCAGCATCTTTTCAATTCACTGTGGGCTTTTGCAAACTCAGGTAGAAAAAGTAGTTCAACGCACTTCTACATCTCTGTATTGTTTATTATTCTTGATGGAAAGATAGCTCTGTTATTCTCTTATTTGGTCTACTTTTTGTATTTCTCAAGGGGGAGATGGATATAGAAATCTCTCAGTCTTTCAGAAAACAGTTCCTACTCCTAGTTAACACCTATTAGCTGCCATTACACTCTTGCATCCCTGTCTATTTATCATTTCACACTATCCATCCCCCCCCCCCACAAAAATTGACTCCCCCTTTTAGTTATAGGCTTCCTAAAAGGCTCAAAGCAAGGATTGTAAGGGGGGGGGAGATGTCTTGCCCCCTTTTCCTCAAACTGGAGAATGTGGGTGGGAGTGATTTATCCTGAAATGAAAGTGGGGAGTGCGAGTTGGAGCACATAGAAAGGAGGTGGCTAATGGAGGAGCATCAGAAAGGAGGGGGATTTTGCCTTTGCAGTGGTTGCTATGGGTGTTGCTATGGGAGGGAGGTTGCTAAGGGAGGCTCGGTGGTTGCCAAGCAGTTGCTAGGTTAGGTACCAGAGGCTGGTCGGGCCTTGCATCATCAAGGATGCCTGAGATGCCATTGCAAGGGCTTCTCTGAGAGACATCCCATCTGCACAAAGCAAGCAGAGGGGGGAACGCTGGTTGGGCTTAACTCTCCAAACATACCCATTTCAAGGGAATAATAGAAATATAGAATCATAGAGTCGGAAGAGACCAGAAGAGCAATCCAGTCCAACCCCCTGCCATGCATTCAAAGCACTCCTGACAAATGAACATCTGGCCTGTTTGAAAACATCCAGATAAGGGGACCTCCACATGTCAGAAATATTAAATACTAGCTTGGGGACATGGTGGTGCCCGGGTTATTTGAGAAAGGCATTGTTTGTCTGTGCTCCAAGTGTAGTCTAGATCCAATGTTGGCTGGGTGAACTACAACTCCCATATGCAAGTCCCATCGTCCATGGTCCGTCCTCCTCCAAACTGTACCAGGATGTAGAGAGGGTCATGGGGGCTCTGTATGCCAAGTTTGGTCTTGATCAGTCATTGGTGTGGGTTGTAATGGTCTCAGGCACTGAAGGTACTGCAAGTCCCATTGTCCATGGTCCATCCTCCTCCAACCCACACCAGGGTGTAGAGTTGGTAATGAGGGCTCTCTGTGCCAAGTTTTATCTTGGTCAGTTATTGGCGTGGGTTGCAGTGGTCTCTGGATGTTAGTGAAGGTATTGCAAGTCCCATCGTCCATGGTCCATCCTCCTCCAAACAGTACCAGCATGTAGAGTGAGTCATGGGGGTTCTGTTTGGTCTTGATCAGTCATTGGTGTGGGTTGTAATAGTCTCAGGCAGTGAAGGTTCTGTAAGTCCCATTGTCCATGGTCCATCCTCCTCCAAACTTCTCCAGAATGTGGAGTTGGTCATGGGTGCTCTCTGTGCCAAGTTTGATCTTGAGCAGTCATTGGCATGGGTTGCAGTGGTCTC